AATGAGAACATCTGGATCTGGTCTCTCTCTCTGGTCTCTCTGCATAAAACACAACAATATGGTTGTGTACAGTCACGCCTCGGCCCTATCTTGGCTCAGTAATCTCATTATCAGTCGTTACTTCAGCAAAAAAATAAAAACCTTTACTGTCAAAACCCAATCTGAAACTAATTAATAATATTTTTCACGATTCCGTAGTAAAAGTAATGGTATGTGGGACATCAAACGGAAACCCCACATCAAAACAGCATCTATAACGCAGCCCATTCCTATCTCTGGTTCAAGTGAGTCCGACAGAACGATTCCAATATGAGAACGTTAAAACTGACATATTTTAGCCCAAATGCACCAGCCAGAAATCATTATCTAAATTATGCCAAATCTTTTAACTTTCGAGTTTATTGGGCAGATTCAAAGCTTGTAGTGTAAGTTTATATGCATCACTTTCTTATATATTTTTCTGGAGAGTCCATTTAAATTGATAAGTGATCAAATATTGTTTGTTTTTTGACAGAGAAGGTCTTGTAAAAGTCTACAGTTGTGAATAATTCAAACCACAACATGGCGTCTTGTTGTTTGATGGTAAGAAGTAAGCTAGCGGGTTTTTGTGTTAAGTTCGTCTCCAATAAGGCAGCTCTGCAGGGTCTCTTTATATAACAGCAGTATGTGTTCACAGAGGTGCGCAATAAGTTTATTTTATTATCAAATGGTACTACCGCATCGGCGAACACACTCAAAGCAGTTGCATAAAGTCACAGGAGTCTGAAAAAGCATATGTTCACAAGCACTATGTACCCCATTGTCAACCCTGGTTTTAGTCCTGGTGTAGCTCCTGTCTTGGCTGTTTACAGTATGTTCAGTCTGCTCGCTCAGTCCGCTAATGTCCCCATGACCACTTTGCGGCTCTCTGATTGGTCTCTGCACAAACGTGAGAGGAAACGTTCATGCTCCTCCCCTTCGACTTTCCCGCGCAGTCCGTGCATCTCTACTGCGCAGTCCGTGCGTGCGTTCCGAGACGCAGATGCATTTTGACGCTCGAACGCGCGTCACCATTGACTTTGCATTGAAAGCAGACGCAACGCATGATCCGGTCTTGGACAGTAAATGAATAGCAATAAACCTTCAACGGTGGCCCATAACCCAGAGGTCGCTGGGTCAAAACCATCCTCTGCTAAAAGGATGAATCTTTGTCAACTGAAACACTTAAGCCAGTGCCCCATGGCCTAATGGATAAGGCACTCTCCTCCTAAGGCAGGGATTGTGATTGTGGGTTCAAGTCCCATCTGGGATGAGGTAGAGTGCAATCTTAGACAGAAACCTTAATTTGCTAAAGTAGGGCTTGAGACTTGATCAAAAGATGCAACTCATCTGTACTTCTTAGCAGGTTTTCCCAACATTTCCTCCTTAATCCAAATAACTTTTTCAAGGAAATGAAAGCTCAGACCGCCAGTTATAACCTGTTGGTGTGGTTAGACATCCCAAGGGAAAAAATGCTAAGTGGGTGAGAAACCTTTCTTTATTTAGGCTAATCCAAGTAGAACTGAGAGCCTACACAAAATCTAGGACAGCAGAGTGGCGCAGCGGAAGCGTGCTGGGCCCATAACCCAGAGGTCGATGGGTCGAAACCATCCTCTGCTACAAGGAAGATGGTTTTGTTCATCCTTGACAATTCTTCTTTTAAATCTGCTTAATTGGAATCTGGAGTGACATGAAATTATTTTTGTGTACACAACTCTATGTGCCTCTGATGAATCTTTGTCAACTGAAAAAGTCAAGCAAGTGCCCCAGTGGCCTAATGGATAAGGCACTGCCCTCCTAAGGCAGGGATTGTTCTTAATGATGTAACTCAAGACAGCAGAAGAAATGACTCTAACCCTTCATCTGTACTTCTTACCAGGTTTTCCCAACGGTTCCTTCTTAATCCTGCTATAAGGAAGATGACTGCACTTTAAACTGTTACTTTTTAAAAAGGTCAGAGTCTCATCTGGGGTGAGGGATGAGAGCAGTCTCGGAAAGAAACCTTAATTTTCTACATTAGGGCTTCAGTCTTGGGACTTGGTCTAAAGATGCAACTCAAGATAGCAGAACAAAGAAAGGCCTCTTACCCTTCATCTGTATATCTTAGCAGGTTTTCCCAACGTTTTGTCCTTAATCCAAATAACTTTTTAGATAAGAGATAAGATAAACCTTTATTAGTCTCACAGTGGAGAAATGTCAGTGTCATCGTTGCACATTACAGCAGAGAAAGGAAATAAGAGCACTCAGATTGCACACATCAAAGTCTATTATTTAAGATAATAGACAATATATTTAAGATAAAATAAAATAAAATAAAATGAGATAAACTCTGGGCTATAATTGCACTTGGTTCGGAGTATTTACAGATGTCTATATTATACATTAGCAGCGGGGGGGAGAATATGAGAATATGAGCAGAATAAACATCAGAAATAATATCAACAGGTAAAGTGACTTGAATCGGAGAATTATCAGATATGTAATAATACAGTAAGATATCAACAGGTAAAGTGACGGTGAAAGGCAGAATTATCAGATAAATAATAATACAGTAGTACTGATAACAGGTAAAGTGACTAGTGACAAAGTTACTGGTGAATTATCAGTGACATTTGTGCAGACTCAGCAGTTCCTGTTACACATTCTCGTTGTACAGTCTGACAGCAGCAGGGAGGAAAGACCTACGGAACCTCTCCTTCACACAGCGAGGGTGAATTAGTCTGTCACTAAAGCTGCTCTCCAGAGCAGAGAGAGTGTCCTGCAGGGGGTGACAGTCATGGTCCAGCATAGATGTTAGTTATCTCAGGACCCTCCTGTCCCCCACCTGCTGCACCGTGTCCAGGGAACAGCCCAGGACTGAGCTGGACTTCCTGATGACCTTGTCCAGCTTCTTCCTGTCCCTCTCTGTGATGCTGCTGTTCCAGCAGACCACACCGTACAAGATGGCTGATGCCACCACAGAGTCATAGAAGGTCTTCAGGAGTGGCCCCTGCACTCCAAAAGACCTGAGCCTCTTCAGCAGGTAGAGGCGACTCTGGCCCTTCTTGAAGAGAGCATCTGTGTTATGAGTCCAGTCCAGTTTGTGATTCAAATGAACACCCAAGTACTTGTAAGAGTCCACTCTCTCAATTCCCTTTCCCTGGATGTTCACTGGGGCTGGAGCGGCAGAGTGGCGTCTACGGAAATCCACCACCATCTCCTTAGTCTTCCCCGCGTTGATGAGGAGGTGGTTCCACAAAGTCCTGTATAACTCCTCTGTACTCTGCGTCATCGCAGAGCTCAGACTGGCGGTCTGAGCTTTCATTTCAAGGAAATGAAAGCTCAGACCGCCAGTTGGAGATTTATAACCTGTGGTTAACCTGCTTAGTAGATGGGTGAGAAACCTTTCTTCGTTTTGACTGCCCATAACCCAGAGGTCGATGGATCGAAACAATCCTCTGCTATAAAGAAGTTGATTGTGTTCATCCAGGGCTAACCTTGTAGTTTGGACATCTAAACTTCTCAAGCAAAAAAAGGAAACAGGCTACTTTAGCAAAGACATAGTCCCTATTCACCTTAAAGTGACGTCCATACATTATCAACCAGTTCAGTGTACACTCATTGAAGTGTCCTGGATTTGACTCTTCATGACTTGAAGAGGACATTTCTCTTTTCTTTCAGATGCTAAAGTGGTGTTTAGACCAGTGGGGGTGGGTCCCGGCTCAAAAGTGGCCAAAATGACGTGCGCTGACATGCATGCAATACCACCCCTGGCCGATGGGGGTGGACCCAGAAGAAGAATTAGCCAATGCTGACATATAGTATTGGCAGACATCTCGAAAACGTCTTTACAGGATGGACCAAAAGTTGGCTCTTGGCCCAAAGCTCCGTTCCACATGTGTGCCAATGCTGAGGGGGGTGAATTTTTTTGGTCCACTCTAGTTTACTTGCTGTGAATTTTTGAAGTCTCTCGTTCAAATGAATGGAGCTGCGCCGGCTGACGCATGCGCAGATGCGTTTTTTCACAATTTTCTTGTGGGCGGGACCACTCGCGGCCATTTTGGATAGCTCCAGTAGAGCACATTTTTTGGCCCATTAGTTCCAAACGGCGGAGATAGGCGTGACTCTGTCCGTTAATATATACAGTCTATGGTTTAGACATGGAATCGCTCGGCTTCACTCGTCAGATCAAAAGTGTCAGACTAAACCAGCTCAAAACACTTTACTTTTGGACATTGTTTTGTTTTGTGGAGCACATGAGGCAGTGGAAAGTCGGAGTGGTTTTTCTCCTGAGCCAAGACGAATGCTGTGATTGCGCTAGAGACTGAAGGCAAATACATGAGCTAAACTCTCAGTCTCTGCAGCAGCTTGTTCGACACATGATCACAGCCTAAGCCTTGTACTTGGTAATTCTATCAGATGTTTTTAAAGCCACTTAAAACTCAAGAAAATGCTTGGAATTTCCCAAAGTGTTACAGTGTTATTATTCCTATGCTTGGTCCCTGTGTTAGTCTTGCTGGTCTTTGTGCTGGTCCCTGTGCCAGTCCCAGTGCTGGTCCCTATTGGTGTAGATTTTCCCCACCTGAGAGTGACCTCACAGCCAGAATATACAAAGATGGGAAGTAGTCTCTCTTGGTCAGTGCATCTCTCTCTGCAAAACATGCTGAGGCCCAGAGGCTTCAGGGGCCTCCCTCTGTCTCACCACCTCTGTGGTTTGGGCCTAATATGTCAAACAGCAATTACATTTTAATATAACAGTCCCTGTGCTGGTTCTTGTGCTGGTCACTGTGCTGGTCCCTGTGCTGGTTCTTGTGCTGGTCACTGTGCTGGTCCCTGTGCTGGTCCCTGTGCTGGTCCCTGTGCTGGTCCCTGTGCTGGTCTCTGTGCTGGTCCCTGTGCTGGTCCCTGTGCTGGTTCTTGTGCTGGTTCCTGTGCTGGTCACTGTGCTGGTCTCTGTGCTGGTCCCTGTGCTGGTCTCTGTGCTGGTTTCTGTGCTGGTTCCTATGCTGGTCTCTGTGCTGGTCCCTGTGCTGGTGTCTGTGCTGGTTCCTATGCTGGTCCCTGTGCTAGTATCTGTGCTGGTTCCTGTGCTGGTTCCTATGCTGGTCCCTGTGCTGGTCCCTGTGCTGGTCTCTGTGCTGGTTCCTATGCTGGTCCCTGTGCTGGTCCCTGTGTTGGTCTCTGTGCTGGTTCCTGTGCTGGTCCCTGTGCTGGTCTCTGTGCTGGTCCCTGTGCTGGTCCCTGTGCTGGTCTCTGTGCTGGTTCCTGTGCTGGTCCCTGTGCTGGTCCCTGTGCTGGTCTCTGTGCTGGTCTCTGTGCTGGTCCCTGTGCTGGTCTCTATACTGGTCCCTGTGCTGGTCTCTGTACTGGTCTCTGTGCTGGTCTCTATACTGGTCTCTGTGCTGGTCCTGTGTTTGACAACATTGTTACATCAATAGTTCTATAAAAATATATAAGAAATAATATGGTTGTGAACAAAGACAAGTCACTGAGAGATCACTCTTGTTGCTGGAATTAAAATAATTTAGAAAATAATAGACATACAAACAGACAGACAGACGGACTGATGGACAGAAGGACAGAAGGAAAGACAGACAGACAGACAGACACAGACAAACAGACAGACAGACACAGACAAACAGACAGACAGACACATACAAACAGACAGGCAGATGGACAGACAGACAGATTAACAGACCGACAAACAAACAGACAGACAGGCAGACCGACAGACGGACATACAGACAGACAGGCAGACAGATACAGACAGACAAGCAGACACAGACAAACATACAGACAGACAGATGGACAGACAGACAGGCAGACAATGATACAGACAGACAGACGGACATACAGACAGACAGGCAGACCGACAAACGGACATTCAGATAGACAGGCAGACAGACACAGACAGACAAGCAGACAGACAGGCAGGCAAACCGACAAACATACAGACAGACAGGCGGACATACTGTACAGACAGACAGACAGGCAAACCGACAAACATACAGACAGACAGACATGCAGACAGAGAGGCAGACAAACATACAGACAGACAGATGGACAGACAGCCAGATAGACAGACAGACATATAGATAGATAGATAGACATCCATACAAACAATTAAATGCATGATTCTAAAAGTTACAAACAACAATAATGCAACAAAACTTGGTCACAGCAAGCATAAAAGAAGGATGCATTAACAACACTAACAGTCAATATCATTACTCAGATTGGTTAAAGCACACATTTAAAGTCTCACTCGATGCACCGATCAGACACGCATCTTTGGGTTTTTAAGTGTGACAAAAGTGAGGATGGAGCCTGAAGACATGTGTAGACCGAGGCTGTAAAGAACCGCATCCACAACATTCACTTAGAGACGTTTCTCCCAAAAGGAATTTTTTTGTATTTTTGTCCATTCTTTTGAATAAACACATAAAAATACAGACGGCTGTGATTATGGGATAATAACATTTACAGTCCAAGTGTTGCTAGATTTGGGAAATGCTAAAAACAGGCTTTAAACCCAAACCTCAGAACCCCCACTCGTGGTCAGACATGTTATACTTATTTATTATGCTAAAGTCAGAGATTTTATTTAATTTTAGTATTGGGGTTTTATTGACCACAGGGGTTGATCCTGGGACCTCTTCTGTTCAATCTCTACATGCTGCCGTTAGGTCAGTTAATATGCAGAAACAAAGTGTCCTATCATAACTATGCAGACGACACTCAGATCTATGTCTCACTGACTGCAGGAGAACATGGACCAGTGGACTCACTCCTTCACTGTATCCAACAGATCAGTGAGTGGATGAACTTCCCTCAGCTAAACACTGACAAAACTGAAATGATTGTCTTTGGTCCCCAGAAACAGAGAGAGAGCGTCATCTGTCACCTACAGTCCCACTGCCTAAAACCTTCAAACAAGGTCAGAAATCTATGGGTAATACTGGACTCAGACTTAAATTTTAATAGCCACATCAAATCAGTAACATCAGCAGCTTTTTACCATCTAAAAAACATTGCCAGGATCAAAAACATAGTGTCTAAAGCAGACTTAGAGATTCTTATCCTGCATTTGTCTCCAGTAGGTTAGACTACTGCAATGGCCGCTCACAGGTCTGTCCAAACAGGCTGTAAAACAGCTGCAGTACATTCAAAATGCAGCAGCTCGAGTCCTGACTAGAACCAGGATGTACGACCACATTAGTCCAGTTCTCAGGTCTCTGCACTGGCTTCCTATGGCTCAGAGAATAGACTTTAAAACAGCTCTGCTTGTGTACAAGTCTCTCCATGGCCTCAAGTAATGAAGTAACACATTACACTGAAGATAGAGACCTCAGACACAAACCAGGGCAGGGCCTGGTTAGTACTGCGATGGGAGACCTCTGGGAACACCATGTGCCACAGTGGGGGGCCTGAGGCTGTAAAGTGCCAAACTGTTTTTGTGTCTTTTGGCAAGACACTTCACCCACATTAGAATGGGTCTGGTGTGTGTGTGAGAGGGGCTGATGATACAGGTTAGTAGTCAGTGTGGCAGCACCAAATAATGCTGTGAAGTGTCTTTCCGTGTCTGAAAAGCGCAATATGAGTTCTATAATCCAAAAGTACTAGAGTGATTTAATGTTTTAATTTTATGTTGTGTATTGTGTTATGTTGTATATTATGTTATATATTATGCTGTATGTTGTGTTATGTATTATATATGATATATATGGTATGTATGGTATATATGATATATGATATATAATATATAATTAGGTTTGCCTGGATCGGTTTGCACACCTGGTGTGCAATCCATGAATCTTGGTGCTGTAGCCTAGGCTAGCCATGGCTGTTGTTGTCTCACCTCCTTTCAGATACGCTCTCTTTATTCAAGGCTAGATTTAAAACAGTCCTCTTTAGTTTAGCATATGGCTAGGAAGGTAAGACTCAGGGAAGGCTAAACTCCTCAGACTGTCAGTCAAGCTGCATAGGGAGTCAGTTTGCTGGGAGAAGTATGGTAACTTGAGCACTATCCTCTCCTCCTTCCTACTTTATCTGTTTGGCATTTTTAGGATTTTGACTGTAGTTTGTTCATTGCTATTCACCCGTTGTCCCATTGTCTGTTTCATGGTACGATGACGGGATCTCTGAGCCTGGCCTCCTCCGTCTACACCTGCGGACTGCCCCGCCCGACCCGCCTGAGAGTGCTTCAGTCCTGCACCGGACCTGTCCACGTTCAGCGGCCACTGGTCCACGTTCTGTAGCTAGCTTAGGTCCTGGATCATTAGCCTGTCCGTCCGGAGGAGCGGATCCCTTTCTCAAATGGGTCTCCCTCCCTGTGGGTTTCCCTTGTTCTCCCCAAGGTTTCTCACTTTTCCCACTGGGTTTTTTAAGAGTTTTTCCTTGTCGATGCAGGAGGGTCTTGTTGGACAGTTAGTGTCCAACAGAAAGGATTGGTGATGATCAGGACACTTTAGCATTCTACAACATGTATGGACATTTTCTTCTGTGTGTGCTTTATATTTTTCATGTGTTTTAACTGTTGATTCTCTGACCTGTGTTGGTGATTTTAATGGTTTTGTTAAGTCTCTGAGATGACTTCTGTTGTGACCTAGGGCTATACAAGAATAAATTTTATTGTATTGTATTGTATTGTATGTAACTTAATTACATTTAAAATAGTAATTAAGTGATATGTAACTTTTTTGAGTCAGTAAGTAATGTTTATTTATATAGCACAGTTTTACAGACCAAGGTCACCCAAAGCGCTTTACAATGTTCAGAATTCAGATATTGTTCCATTCTCTCCACACGGTGATGACAGAAGCGAGACCGTCCATTCACTCTCTCATTACATACAGACCTATTGTGCATGTTTTAGTGGTAGGGGAAACCGGAGCACCTGGAGGAAACATACACAGACACGGGAAGAAGATGTAAACTCCATTCAGAAAGGCCCTGTTCCGACCGGGATTCAAACCCAGGACCTAGCAGTGTTAGTTCAAAGTACCACTGGATATCAGAGGTGTGTAAAGTACATAGAATCTTCTCTCTCTTACAATCATTTAAACATGAATATAGAACATCTCATTCTGTTCATTATTGACACATTTCTGGATGAACATAGTTTGTTAAATTAGACAAACGTCCTTTTAAATTCAACTTTGTGAATTCACTCTGAAGTTACTGTAACTGTGGTCCTGCTGCCCCCCCTGCTGCTCACAAAGGGAACAGCAGAGAGGCCACACAAAAAGCCGTGTGACAAAAACAGACTAAAAAGTATTTTTGTGATTAAAAACCTAAACACAGTCATCCTTCTTCCTCCTTCTGAAACCCAAAGATATGTGTTTTTGTTTGTTTTCATAGTTGCAAAAAACTCTTCCTTTCTGTCTGCTTTTTTATTTTCAAACCAAATTTCCAGTACATTTTCTTCTTTTCATTGTTTATTATCGTCTTTCATGAGGTGTTATTTGCTGATGACGCAAACGTATTCCTGTCACACAAAAAGTTGGACAGCGGTTAATGAAAAACGTATCAACGTTGATTAGGCAAAACTAACTATCAAGCTATCATTAAACATGAACGAAACAAATTTAATAAAATTCCGTTCAAATATAGCTGGAAACACATTGTTAGAATTCAAATGAACATTAATGGAAGAGTTCTTGAGAGAGTAGAGAACATAACATTTTTAGGAATATAAATTTGGATGAATACTTAAATTTCACAAAACACACATAGTTTACCTAATTAATAAAAAATCTAAATGTGATGGTCTATTTCTCAAATTGAGGTTTTATCAGAAGCTCTTCCTTACTCTATACCGTTTTTAATATTTTTTCTGTCCTGTTCTTGACTTGTGAACGTTATTGGGGCCCCTACATATAAGCTAAGTCGTGCTTCTTGGGAGTCCCTTCACAAACCTACAATTAATGTGAACAAATTACTACATAAATTAGTTTTGGAAGTGTAATTACTCGTATGTAGGTTTTTCAGTCTCCATACCTTTGTCACTTTTTTCTCTTTCTATATGTAGTTAGTTTCTATGCTTTTATGTTTATGAAATTATTTCGATCCTAGACTGGTCCTAGACTGTTTCAGAGCAATCTCAGCTTGGAACAAGTGCTAGTTACCATAGTAACACACTGTTTACTAGCAGCAGTTAGTATTGATTTTCCCTATATTTGATTTATATTGACCAGATTTAGAATGTATTAAAAGATCAAACCTGTATGAGTTACTTAAAATTAATCAAATCAGTAAAAAATCTAAAACTCTAGTTTTAATCTAAATATAATAATTTTTGGGGGGATTTTTTCCTGAATTCCATTAATATAAAAATCTGGGAGTTCAAATAGTTTCATAATTCGTGGAGTCCTAGTGTTTTAAACATAGACTGTAAATATGAAAGTGGTTAGCAATAACAGGGACAGGAGCAGACTGAACAAGCTGGTCAGGAGGGCCAGGTCCACTCTGGGCTGCCCCCTGGTCTCTGTGGAGGAGGTGAGGGACAGGAGGGTGCTAGCCAAAGCCACCTCCATCATGGACAACACCTCCCACCCACTGCACAGGACTGTAGAGGAGCTGAGGAGTTCCTTCAGTGGAAGACTGTGCAAGAAGGAGCGGGCCTTTATCCCCACTGCTGTCAGACTGTACAACAAGTCACTTTAAGTCACTGCATTAAGACTGAAAAAACCTGCACTACTATTGACACTGTTTCTTGATTGCCAATGTTTAAAATGCCACTTTTATTGTACATCTAATAAATACATCCTGCATTTAATATGTTTGCACATTTCTTTCTTTTTGCACAATCTTGAGTGTTTCTATCCATGCCAGATGTGAAATGTAAATTTCTCCTGTGTGAGATCAATAAAGTGTATCTTATCTTATCTTATAATCATATCGATCAAGACGCGCAGAAGCCCCGCCCTCTCCTGGGAAAACCGGAAGTTTAGCTGTTGTTGTCACACTGGAAGAAAATGGCTGCTGCTTCGACTTTTTTTCAATGAAGACCCCGATATTCCCTTTCCATTCCGCTTCCTCGTGTCGGAGTCACGTTCGAGCGCTATGCAATCCAGAAGGCAAGTCCATCCCGCTGGCTGAGATCCGCGTTGCTCTGTCCCTGTGCACCTTTTGCCTTTAACTTGCAGCTTGCCAAGGTAACGAGCTAGCATGCTAACGTTAGCCTCGATAGCCTCAATGGTCTGGCATCACCGAGCTTGTTGCTACTCAGGCGCACGCATCCCGTTTGGAGGGAGGGGGGCTCCAGTCATCAGAGTTTCATGACACTCACGTCTCAATATCAACACAAACATAACATTTAGCAACTTTTCCTATTCATAAATATAACAGCAACGCGGCCATAGAAGCCACATGTTACAGTTTGCATCTGTTGACCTTTCTGTGTGTGGGGAACCTGGGCAAGTCTCAGAGGGTATTGTGATAACGTGGGTGTGTGCTCGTGTGGTTCGGCTGTTTGTGAAGCTTTGTTGTTGTGCAGGGCGTGAATGGTCGCGTTAGGAAGGTGACAGTCTGGGGCTCAAAGGAGGACAGCATCTACCGTCACTCCCCTGAAGCTGGCGGGACCACAATGGTAAAGGATTTATTTTAGTGCATGCATTGAGTCTATGATCCTGATAACTGGCCTATTTTTTATTTATTTTACAACCCACAGTCTATCTATATGGCTTTAGACCTGGTTTGTTCATGCTTACCCTGCTTACCCATGCTTACAATTACATACATGGGTTAGACCAGAGATGTATCCTTACTTATTCAACCTATGCATTTGTTATAGACCTTTTATAACAGAATGTGTGGCATTCGAGCATTCTTAAAAATGTGTTAAATTTCCCTTTACCAAACAAGCCATCCCGTCTCATAATAGGTCAATTTGAAAGCTCAGAGAAGGACGTATTTTAGCTGAGTTTGACCCTGGTTTAGTCCTGTCTCAGTGGATATTTTTATCACAAACATATTCAGTAAAACTTCTTGTACAATCAATGTTCATATTTAGCCTTAATGATATTGTATGAGACATAAAATTGTGTTAAAAGTTGCGCAATTTTTTTGTTCCTATGCGATTGGACAATACATGGAACAGCCCAGTCTTTTGGACAATATCTCAAACTGTATGCAATTAACTTATTTCTTTGAAAGTAGGAACGTTTTATGCGCTTTTTTAACGATATTTAGTCATCATCATTCACCTTTTACATGTACTTGTTGCATACATACACGCACACATACATACATACATATACATGCACACACACACACACACATACATACTCACACACTTGCATACGTATACACACACACTTATGTACATAAATACATATACATACATACACAGACACACACATACATACAGACACACACTGTTTTTAATCCTTTTTTCCCCACTATCTTCCCCTTGTGCAAAAAAACCATGTATAATAACAGTACTAAAACAACAAAGCAAGCCAAAATAGTAATAATAAAAACACAGACAAAATTATATAGATATAATACAAATATATATCAAAATAAAAACAATTGATGATGATTATATGCTATAATAATGTATACAAATGTATGTCTCTAGCATGACGTCAATAATGCTGTATATAGTTTAACCTCCTGTTTTTACTTCAGCAACAAGCTCTGGAATATGCATTGGATCGAGCCGAGGTGAGTGTGTTACGGTCTATGCAGTCCCCTTCCACACCCGCAGACACAAAGTTCTTTGCAATACGCTTTATTCACTTATTATTTTGCCTTTTAGTTTCTAGGAATAAACACAGAAATCTATATACGTCAATAATAAACAAACACATGAATCTTGTTACCTGTAGTGTTCGCAGATCTCTGGTTTTAACAGTAATTCAAATGTTACGTCAACATGTGGCTGTTTTCTTTCTCTCCCAGTACATTGTTGAAAGTGCTCGACAAAGACCAGCCAAAAAAAGAACATCGTCCGGAGGGAGGAAGAGTCTGTATCAGAAACTTTATGAGCTGTACATAGAGGAATGTGAGAAGGAGCCAGAGCTGAAGGTTTGTTAATCATTTATTACTATTACATCTCTTTTGCTATTGTCTGTGTAATAATAAACAAGTAGACAGATACAGTTCCCACTTCCTTTTGCACATGGAATGAGAACATTTAGTATCATTATTTTATTTTATATTTCATCTTGTGTCTATGTTCACTTTAACACTATTATTTACTTATTTGGGGGTTTTGTTATGTATTTATATTTACATTTGTCTTTGAGGATCTTGTCTTGGTTAAAGATGCAGTGAGCGATGGTGTTAGCTTAGCCGTAGCACCAACGCACCCTCCACTCCCTCTCGACCAAACCAAACATCCAGCATTTTCTTTTCTTTGTCACAACAGGGAGAGTGGGAGGCAAACGTGAAATTGGCATTTTCTGTTCAGCCCTTTTAGGTTTTAGAAAATCCAAAAGGTGAACTCGCGAGAAACAGGAAGAGCGTTACCCCCTGTAAACGCAACCCATTGGTTCGTTGGGGATGAACAAATCCCATTGGTTTATTTTTATTGGTCCGCTGCAATATATGTTTTATTAATTTTTGGAGACTACAGGCATCTGGTCAATACCATTACTATTTGAAAACGCATGATAACTTGACGACTTTTAGGGTTTAGGGACGTTTTCCGACAATATTTAGAAAAATTGCTTCTGGAAAACATCACTGACTATATCTTTAGCTTTTGTAACTTGTCGTGTACGAAATGAAAATGAATTAAACGAAAGTAATTACAATAGTATAATATCTATATGACGTGTGAATGAAAGCTAAAATGTCTTTTTTCTCTAATATATGTGTTTTTCTGTCTGTGTTTTAGAATTTAAGAAGAAATGTGAATCTACTGGAGAAGTTGGTGTCTCAGGAATCCGTGTCGTGTTTGGTGGTGAACCTTTACCCTGGGAACGAAGGCTACTCGCTCATGCTCCGAGGCAAGAATGGCTCTGGTGAGAAATCATTACTTAGTATTTAATGCACTCAAAAAATATAAAAAAAAGTTAATAAAGGCCTGAATCAAGTGTTTATATCTTAGTTTGAGCACATCTTGACTGTCTTGAAGATTTGAAGATTTGTAGATGGGACAAGCAAATATGGCTTGTTTTAAAAATATGGAGGAAAATTAAAGAAATATCTTCTTTGGAATGAGAAAATTAAGCAACAGTTCTTGAAATAAGTCTCAATGACTTTGTCCCGTTGGAAAATCTTGTTTTAACACATTCAGAAAGAACTCCTATTAAGATTAAAAAAAACCTTGATTGAAGCAATTATTATTTATTACCTTATATTATGACATTTTTCGCAGTGTGGGGAGAGGAGGCAGCATTTCACATTTATGCATGTAAATTCTGGAACAGTCTTCTTGAAAACATGAGACGGGCTTCTACCCTGACAATGTTCAAATCCAGGTTAAAAACAGTTATTTTTAGCTGCAACAACTGAGGGATTATATTTTCACTCTTTTTAATGTACTGTGATTATTTATTAGGGCTGCACTATATATCGAAAAAATATCATTATTGTGATATTGGTACATCCTATCTATATCAAAAAAAATTGTGATAATTTTTTTAATATATTTTTCCTTTATTAAAAACAACAAAACAGACCCAACAACAAACAAACAAAAGTATTTAAATATATTTGAATGTCATTATTTTTGGTTATTTGTCTCTTGTGTTTCAATGCAGATTGCAATTTTAGGTGAAAGACAAAAATTTCGCAATAATATTGTTATCGCAACACTAAACACTCATATTGAATATTTTTCTAATTTCCAATATCGTGCAGCCCTATTTTTTATGATTATTATGTTTGTATCTTGTTTTGTTCAGCCCTGTGTATGAACTGTGCTACCAATAAACTTGCCTTTTATCCCGGTGTGTGATCCTCAGACTCAGAAACGATCCGACTGCCATATGAAGAAGGAGAACTGCTGGAGTATCTGGACGCAGAGGAGCTGCCTCCGATTCTGGTGGATTTGTTGGAAAAGTCCCAGGTTTGTGTGGTTTTACTTCAATCCATCTGTATTTGTAGAGCGCCATACACACACACACACACAGCAACACAAAGAGCTTCACATCACCACAGAAAACTCCAAAATCACAGTTTTAAAACACAATAAAAAATCACACAGATGATTAAAAACATTATAATCACACAAGGGAAATTTATTATTAAAAATAGAGATACAATTCGGGCGTTCTGCTCTCCCAAAATTTCATCCACTGAGCGGCGCTGTGATCAAAAAATGACACAGTTTGTTGCCCAGTTCACTTCCGGTTGATTTCATACAATGGCGAATATGGCTCACGAAAACAACAAGCGATTGACAGTGCCTGAATTGCGTGAAAGGTTGAAGCGAAAGGGTATTTGCAGTGTGGGAAAACGAAAGGAGGTATTGTTGTTGCTAGTTCAACGAGCGGATGGTGTTTATGAAGATTTAGAAGAAGATGACAGCGAGCAGAGTGAACGAAAACGGCTGTGTGTGCGAGTGACAGATGGTAACAATGAGAATGAAGTTCAGCTAAGAGGGAAGAATGTGAATTGGACGGATGATTTGCGCGATATGCCACTAGTTAGAGACGGGAATGTATTTGCATACAGAAAATGACGAAAACACTCAACCATTTAGAGAAAATGCGCCGGGCAGAGAGAACCGGAAGTTGCGAAGGCAAGTGTTACCCATAATGCAACGCAAAATTCAGTCGCTCCCCCGCCCATCGGATGGAATTTTGGGAGAGCAGAACGCCCGGATTCTTCAGTTATAGCACAGGCAAACAAACAGTCTTTAACCTGGATTGGAACATTGTCAGAGAAGACGCCTCTCTCACATTTTCACAGAGACTGTTCCTGGTTTAGCTGCATCAATTTGAAATGCAGACTCGCCATGTTTAGTCCTGACTCTGGGACCAGCAGGAGGCCAGTCCCTGTGCTCCTCATAGTCCCAGAAGGAGACCAGTGCCTGTGCTCCTTAGTGTCTGGTTCATATGGCGCCAACATGTCACTAATGTACTTTGGTACGAGGCCCTGGAGAGGCTTGTAACAAACAGAGCTGCTTTAAAATCTACTATTGTTTTAGATTACATTAGATTACATTAGATTAGGTTAGATTTAGAGATCCACACATTTCTATGTTTGTGTGACTCCTTCTCTCTGCTCCTCCAGGTGAACATCTTCCACTGTGGCTGTGTGATCGTGGAGGTCAGAGACTACAGACAGTCGGGGAATACCAAGATGCCTACGTATCAGAGCAGACACATCCTGCTCAGGCCAACCATGCAGGTCACACGTCTACATGCACTACTTTTAGTGTACACCGTCTAAATGGTGGCTGAGTGGTTAGCATGGTCACTCCTCAGCAAGAATACCCTGGGTTTTTGATGAAGGCTTTTTGCATGGAATTTGCATGTTCTCGTTGTGTCTGTGGTTTGGTTGATTTCATCCGGTCGCTCAGGTTTTTCTTACCACTAAACACATTTACAAAAGATTAAATCCTCCAGCTCTGTTGCATTCAGGATGGGTCAAATGCAGAGGACACATTTCTCTATGCGTACAATAATGTGTAGGCTAATCTCTGCAATGTGTGTCTAGTTTTTCTGGGCTTTTCCACCAATTTTCACATTCACATTATTATACAAAGACAATATGTCCCCTAGTTCATTCATGAGCCTCCGACTTCTTTTTAAAAATAGCTTTAGTCCAAGTTCAGTTTCAGCTGAGGACCAAAGCTTTTCCCCCTGGACTGAGGAGACTGAAGGATGTTCTCCTGAGGGCACTTTCACGGTTTCTCTGGGGGTGTCCCGGGAGAAGGAGACCTCAGCCCTCAATGGAACTGTGCGCACACGACTGCGCTAACATGTATTCATAAAATTCAAATGTCAGATTTTTTTTTTTTTTAAATGATCAAAACTACACATTATTGTCTATTATTAACTATTGACTCCTAACATTATCCTGTCATTTACAGTCCACACGCTTGTAGTTTACTCGAGTCCAGGCGTTGTCTTCCGTAGCTGCGTGTTTGGCTCATGGAGAAATAGTGGTTTTCAGTAACACAATAACATGTGTCTACCCCAACATAGCTACATGTATGTATACACAAAATATGTACAAGTTTACTGTATATTATTTTTTTATTTTTTTCATCTTAATTTGGGAGCATCAAGCAAAGAAGTGACAAATTACAGAAATTCAGAAAGGATGCAAATCACTATTTACGTGAGATTCATACAGATAAGAAATAACAAAGTAGTAGTGACAGTAGCTCAGTTGGTAGAGCATTGGCCTTTGAGCCTGAATGTTGTGGGTTCAATCCCACCGCAAGACCATCTCCACGACTCCCACTGCTATCTGCTGTCGTTGTGTCCTGTGGCAAGACAGTTTTCCTATAAGGAGCACGCTGCATGCCTTGATGTGATATGTGTATGTGACTATTCATCAAACAGAATTCCTCCATTGTGAGATCAATAAAGTATAACTTCTTCTTCTAATCTCAATCTGGTTTAATGCATTTTGTGTGCGTGTGTGCGTCTGTGTGTGTTTCATTTGAACATAGACATGCTTCACATTTCTGCTGTTAAACCTTCAGTGGATCTTTACTCTTGTTAGTGTTTGCTAATGCACAATGAGAATGTTGAGTGAAGCCTGTGTCAGTCCCACAGCATGTTGGGACGGTGTGTTTTAAGATTGTAACATGTAATGAGTACATTTCCCACAGTAAGCTCAATGTGGTTTGTCTTTAGACCCTGATCTGTGACGTCCACGCCATGACCAGTGACCACCACAAGTGGACACAGGTAAAGTCCAAACTCCAGTGTAATCCCATATCCATGTTTTCTCGTTGTATTGAATATATCTATGATGCGGTTTCTCTGAAGGATGACAAGCTGCAGCTGGAGAGTCAGCTGATCCTGGCCACCGCGGAGCCTCTGTGTCTGGACCCCTCCATCTCCGTCACTTGCACCGCCAACCGGCTGCTCTACAACAGGCAGAAGATGAACACACGTGCCATGAAACGGTACCACACTCAACTAAAAAACTACAACAAAATATACACTACATGTGACACAAAATAGAATCCGTGAAAGCATCCAAAGGTTATCAGAAGTGTTGTCCTAAATCCACAGGACCCTGAGTGTGTTTTCTTCTTCTTTTGTGTAGGTGTTTCAAAAGGCATTCTCGCGCTGCGCTGAACCGGCAGCAGGAGCTCTCCCACCTCCCCGTCCCTCCACAACTGCGGCTCTATGACTACCTCCAGAAGAGGAAGGAGAGGAAGCCTGCTCCTGTCATAGACCTCAAAATCTCCAAAGTGGGAAACGTAAGTAATTTCAATTCAATCTATTCTTGTACAAATCACAACAGTAGTTATCTCAGGACTTTACAAAGCTGTTGATTTGCCAACACAGATCAGATAATCAAACAGTTAAAACACAATGATAAAAACACACAGAGCCATTGGTTCATAAGGGGCAGACACCAATGTCCATAAATGTCCAAAACAAAGGAAGGTAGCTCACCCATCAGCTGGGCTTCAGGGAGCAAGTTTCTCAAACGTTTCGTTCTTCATCTAAAGAACTTTATCAAGGAAATGAAAGCCACAAGTTGGAGATTTATAACCTGTGGGAGTGGTTTGACCCCACTATTGTCTGCTGAGACTGCTGAGGTTGGGAACAGGACTAACAATAAGATCTTCCTTTATCTGTCCCACGGTGAGGAAACTTGAGCGTCATCGTTGCACATTACAGCAGAGAAAGAAAATAAGGAAATAAGATGCACGCACCAGAGTCTATTATTTAACATAATAGACAATAAAATTATAAGTATAATAGAATAAATTAAAATAAACTCTGGAGCTGTAATTGCACTTGGTACAAGAGTATTTATAGATTATTTATATTGTACTTTAGCAGCACTGATCAGAATCAGTCAATTAGAGTATTGATCAGAATAAACAAAAGTAACTATAAGCAGGTAAAGTGACTAGTGAATGGCAGAAGTATCAGATGGATGGATATCTGATAATGTAATAATGCAGTAATATTAACAACAGGTAAAGTGACTAGCGACTAAGTGACTAGTGAGTTATTATCAGTGACACTTGTTCAGACCCGTTCTCGTTATACAGTCTGACAGCAGTAGGGGGGAAGGACCAGTGAAACTTCTCCTTCACACAGCGAGGATGAATACGTCTGCTAGGGCTAACGATCCTTGTCCATTAGCATGTCACTGACCTTTCCCTGTCGGACATATTCTCTGGCCTTTGTTTTTAGGACATCGTCAAATGCAAGGCAAACAGTCTTAAACCACCCCCTCTATTTAGAGATTGTTTGTGTTTTTATCCCTCTCTCAAGTAAATGTTGAATGTGGAGTGTCCTGCATCATCCCCTCTGTCCTTAGACCCTATTTTTTCAATTTGATTCTTTTATTTACAAAACTTCATAGTCATACAACTTTTACACATTGTATTTATAAAGTTGGTTGAATCTGCATTAGCTTATAGGCGGGGCCCCAAAAAAATCAACACACATGATTTCATATAATACAAAGTAGCCGCCTTTATGTTTTTGTAGTTTTGACATGATTCTTTTTTTCTGTGTTTCTGCAGTGTGTGGATATGTGGAAGCAAAACAACTGCCAATTAACTGTGCCCAAGGAAATCGATGTAAGCTCAAAAAATCAAAACCCATCGAAGGCAACGACGACGGATAACTTTACCGCGGTTTTGTGTTTAGGTCGAAAAATATGCAGTGGTGGAGAAATCTTTGCAGCTGGAGGACTCTCAGCCGACGACTGTGATCTGGCCTGCTCAGGTGAAATATATATGTGCATTATAAAGATATTGGTTTGATTCTACGCCAATAGTGCTAATATGTCAGTGACGTCATTACCTTTCAACCAAGAAGACAAATGGACCTTCCAAAACATGTGGCGCACACCGCATAAACATGATCAGAAATACACTCATACATACATATTTGCAGTCAATCATATTTTTGCACATTTGATATTTTATTTACTGCGACATACTCAATAAATGCATTCATTCATTCACTCATTCATTCAAAGCAAATGACATGTTGTACACCTGAACTGTAGCTCTAGAACAAAAAGTACATTCATTTTACATTTATATTTCTACTTGAACCAAAACTAATGTGGTAACAAGACGACACCAAGCTCTATAGTTCCCTCTGCTGCCACTGTTGAAATAATAGTTAAAATATGCATAAGGAGGCTGCAATAGCTGGAGAAACTGTGAGTGTCTGTGTCTTGTTGTGGAAAGAGTCGCCAAATCTTCAAACGTTGGCCTAAAAACCAAACCAAAAATATCAGGGAAGACCTTTTTCTTGTTCAAACCATCAATATATGCTCCTTAACGCGTGCCTGGCCCTGTGGATTCCCTGTAAATAATCCAAATCTCAGATCTCAGGACGACGCTATAGGGCTCTTGGGTGTAGAACAAAACTGCTGGGAACTACATTTATTCCAACAGCTGTGAAGCACCTTAACAGCACATAATAATAATAATAATAATAAATCTTTATTTATAAAGCACTTTTCAAAACCAATGTTTACAAAGTGCTGCACAGCATAATAAACAATACATCAGTCATAATACAAAGTTAAAACAATAAGAATGAATGCAAGAAGACAAGACAAACAGAGGAAACACAAGACCACAAAACAGACAGGACAGACAGTAAAATACAACATTATAAGTTTAAAGCTGACAATTAAAAGCTGTTTTATAAAAGTGGGTTTTAAGAAGAGATTTAAAAGAGGATACTGATGGTGCTAGCCTTATCTCCTCGGGCAGGTCATTCCAAAGCCGAGGAGCCCGGACAGAAAAGGCTCGATCACCTTTCGTCCGGAGCCTCGACCTTGGAATGGTCAGCAAGGACCTGCCCGAGGATCTAAGGCTGCGGGGGGGCTCGTAAGGGGTTAAAAGTTCATAAATATAGCTTGGTGCCAGACCTAAACGAGCTTTAAAAGTAATCAGTAAAATCTTAAAATCAATTCTAAATCGCACAGGGAGCCAGTGGAGGGACGCTAAAACAGGGGTGATGTGCTCCCTTCTGTTAAAACCAGTGAGAAGTCTGGCTGCTGCGTTCTGAACCAGTTGGAGGCGGGAGAGGGATTTAGCATCAAGACCGGAGAGGAGGGAGTTACAGTAATCGAGGCGGGAGAAGATGAGGGCGTTGACGACTTTATGGAGATCGGGAGGAGTGAGAATGTTTTTAATCTTAGAGATGGTGCGGAGGTGATAGAAGCAGGTTTGGGTGGTTTTATTGATGTGGGAGCGGAAGGTGAGGTGAGAATCAAAAATGACACCGAGGTTACGGGCGGAGGGAGTGATGTTTGAGGACAGGGGGCCGAGGTGGGTTTGGATGTGGGATATGGATGGAGGCGGGTTGATGAGGAGGACTTCTGATTTGGAGGTGTTGAGTTGAAGGAAGTTATGGGCCATCCAACGGTTCACATCATTAAAACAGTCGACCACAGCAGCCAGACTTCCAGGGTCGTTTGGTCTCAGCGGGAGGTAGATCTGTGTGTCGTCCGCATAGCAGTGGAAGGACACGTTATGACGGGCCGTAACGTGTCCTAGGGGGAGCATATAAATAGAGAATAAAATGGGGCCTAAAATAGAACCTTGCGGCACACCACAGGTGATGGGGGCTGTTGAGGAGGTAAAATCACCCATGGTGACCGCAAAGGTTCTTTCTAAAAGATAAGAATGAAACCAACCAAGTGCAGTATCTCTGATGCCAACCCACGTTTTGAGGCGATCCAATAAAATATCGTGGTCTATAGTGTCGAAGGCAGAGCTTAAATCTAAAAGAATTAAAATAGAGCACTCTCCGCGGTCCGTGGTTAAAAGAAGGTCATTTAAAACTCTAAGGAGAGCTGTCTCAGTACTGTGTTGTGCTTTAAAACCGGATTGGAATTTCTCAAAGATGTGGTTATTGTTAATAAAATCTAAAATCTGAATAGAAACAATTTTCTCTAAAACCTTAGATAAAAACGGGAGTTTAGAAATGGGTCTAAAATTGTTAAAATCTGTAGTGCTTAAATTAGGCTTCTTTAAAATTGGTTGGACCACAGCATGTTTAAAACTGGATGGGACAAGACCTTGATCCAGGGACTGATTAAGGATTGATAAAATGGAGGGTCCAACCACATTAAAAACATCTTTGAGAAATTTGGTGGGGATGACATCGAGGCTGCACGTGGTTGGTTTCATGCGGAATAAAATGTCAGATAAAAGAGAAAGGGATAAAGGCATAAAATTTGTAAAACAACTAAAATCCAGAGTTTCTCTATTTAAAACAGTGGCTTGGCTAGGAGCAGATATTTGGGTCCGGATATCTGTTATCTTTTGAATAAAATGGTTTAAAAATAATTCACACTGTTCAGTGGATGAATCACTAAAAACACAGGGACTGGGATTTATAATAGAGTTTAAATCTTTAAATAAAACTCTGGGATTCGATTTGTTTTGGGTGATAGTGTTTGAATAAAATAAAGTTCTTGCTTCCTTGACTACGTGTTGATATTGTTTGAGACTGTCTTTCCAGGCGAGGTGAAATGCTGTAAGGTGTGATTTTTTCCATTTCCGTTCGAGCTGTCTGCATGACTGTAAGAGCTTTCGAGTGTTTTCATTGAGCCATGGTTGTGGTGTTCTGGTGGGGTTTCTTTGTTTAAAAGGTGCAATCGTGTCTAAAATCCTATGTGATGTTTGATAAAAGGAGGAGACCTGCTCCTCCAGGCTAAAATGTTGGTTAAAAGTAGTCAAGGAGGCTGCAGTAAAAAGTTGGGAAAATTTAAGAGCAGAGGTGGAGTTAAAAACACGAGAGTGATAAAATGACCCATTGGAGGCAGACTGAGGGGCTAAAATAACGTCGAATAAAATAGCTAAGTGGTCCGACACACAGATATCCTTGGTGATGACATTTCCTGCGCTGAGACCAAACGTTAAAACCAGGTCCAGTGTATGGCCCTTAGAATGGGTCAGAGCATTTATAATTTGAAGAAGATTAAAAGACTCAATTAGATCAATAAAATCAGAGGTTAAAGGGTGTGGTTTATGTGGGCAGCAGACATGAATGTTAAAATCACCTAAGATTAAAACTTTGTTGTGGAGGGCCATACACTGGGATAAAAGATCAGAGAATTCTTGAATAAAAACAGTGCTGGGTTTAGGGGGTCTATAAATAATTAAAACAAACACTGGGGTTTTACATGAAATGATAAGAGACAGGTGTTCAAATGAAGTAAAAACATTTTGTGATCCAGGAGTGCATTTAAAAGTGTTCTTAAAGATGGCTGCAACCCCCCCTCCCTTGGTCTTAGTCTTGGTTGGTGGAGGAAGGTGTAGTCCGGGGGGGTCACTTCAATGAGGGGGGTGCAGTCGCCTTGCACTTGCCATGTTTCTGTTAAAATCATGAAGTCCAGGTTGTTGTATGTGATGAAGTCCTGACAGATGAAGGATTTATTGTTGATGGATCTGATGTTTAGAAGTCCAAAGATTGTAGGTGCAGGGTCCGGAGTGAGGGCTGTAGAGGAGCAAAGGGGAACCGGGATGAGACAGGGGAGGGAGAGTTCTCTGGAGGAGGTCCTGTGGGGTCGGGGTCTGGAGATGACAGGGATTGACTGAGGGGGAGAGCTGGGGCTGGGTCGGTGAGGAGGTGATACGGGGGGTGAGGAGGCAGATAGTCAGTTGTAGGTGGAGTGAGACTGTACTGAATGGATGATATTGGATGTGAGAAAGCGGTTTCCAAGAGGGTTGATATGAAGGCCATCAGGTCTGAAGAAGGAGGAGCGGTGCCAGAATAAATTAAAATTGTCAATAAAACCAAAGTTGTGGAGGGTTGATGCTTGTTTGAGCCAAGTGTGAAGAGCTAGAATTCTGCTAAAACGTTCATCTCCTCGGTTGAGAGTGGGTAGAGGGCCGGAGATAAAAACAGATAATCCAGATTCTGATAAAAAGTTAAAAAGGTCTCTAAAATGCAGTTTTGTGATTTCCGAGTGGCGGGATGAACTGTCATTTGAACCGATATGGATAATAAGACGTGTTATTGTAGTGGGGGCGTTTATAAGAAGGGCAGGTAATTTGTTCAGCAGTGAAGTGACAGTGGCTCCAGGGAAACAGTGAGTGGAAACATTAAAAAACCTGCAGCGTTTAATGATGGAGTCACCCACCAGAAGAGTTGTGGGTGCGAACAATGGTCGGGGGGAGGATGGAGTTATCGTAGTGGGGGGAGATGGGCGCTGAGAGACCTGAGCGGGCAGGGCGAGACCAGGAGCATTTGCGGTGGTGCCGTGAGATAAGAGCGGAGGGTTGGGAGAGAGTGAAGGAGACCGAGATAAGAGCGGAGGGTTGGGAGAGAGTGAAGGAGACCGAGGCGGTTCTGGACGGACTGAGACTGGGGCACTTGTACAAACCTTTGCACTTTACAGCATATTTGCACTGAAAATTAGCTTTATGACAATCTCTCTTGTTCTTGTTTTTCTTCAATGTTGTGATTTTACTGTATCTGCCTGTTATAAGATGATTGTTTCTCCAAAACCAATTTCCCCCAGTGGGACAATAAAGATAGTTTGAACTTGAACTTGAACTTACCACACTTTTCAGGCGTTAAAATAGTTAATATTTGACTCGCCCCCTGTCCATTGACAGCACTTCATTGGTCTTCTGCTTTGTCTCTGTTGTTTATTATTTCAAGTTCAATGTACATCAAACATCATTAACAGAATTTTCTAACATATCATTCATAAACAATCACTTATTATAATATTGTACATTATTCAAACCCAAAAAGTAGGTTCAGGAAGAAAAAAACGTGTAAATTCCCTTCTCCCGTCCCCTGGTGAGAATAGTTCAGGCACTTCTTCTAAAGCTACGTTCATAACTTTTGTCTCGGGGTTTTGTTTTGTTTGTGCGTTCAGGAAGTTGTCGACGATTACACGTTTGAGTGTGAAGTCGGGGGACAAGCCAAGAAGACCAAGGTGTCCATTTTCCAGTCGATGGGAGACCCGCTGGTGTACGGCAAGATCTACTGTGCTAAAGAACCAAAGGCCGAAGAGGACAGCACCGACCTTAAGCTCATCCACCCGCCGTGAGGACCAGCACTTTACTATAGCATAGCACTTTATTATACATAACCAACTTTTCTTTGTTCCCTCAACAGATTTCTCATAGGATCAAAAATAGATGCCGATCGGTGAGTCAACCTTAAATGTTTTGCGCTAATGCAGAGAGGGTTAAAGCGATATATTATACATTTCCTTCTTTACCCTTTGTGCTAACCTCGACTTCCACTAGCCCTCCTTGGCTCTACTTTATTGATCCCCCGTAGGAGAAATTCAGGTGTTCAGCAGCAGAAGACTCATTCAGGTTTGTTGTACAGTGTAAAAGCCGAAGGAACAAAGGATCTCTTGAAACGTTCCGTTCGGCAGCGTAGGATAGAAGCCTGTTGCTTCGACTACTTCTCTGAGCGGCCATAGTGTCATACAGAGGGTGTCTGGAGTTACCCAGGATGCCCTGCATTAGAGCCCTCATCCTTCCCTCGAGCACAGCTCCCACAGAGTCCACACTTCTCCCCATCAAAGAGACACATTTCCTGATCAGCCCGTCGAGCCGGTTACTGTCTCTCGAGGACAGACTGTCCCCAACACTTGACCCCAAAGAACACGGCACTAGCTACATCAGACTGGTAAAATGCAACATCGGACTGCTCACCTCCCCCCTGGACTGCCACCTTAACGTGGTGGGGGAGTTTGAGTACTCGGATGATCCTGAGAGCTATGCTGTCTGGGGCTTCATGCCCCTGGTAGGGTCTCCCATGGCAGACAGGTCTCAGGTGACGAGTCAGACGAAGAGCGGTCCAAAAACCACCATGAACAGCACAATAAATAGTCAAGTGACGTCGCCCGGCATGGCGCAGCCGGGGCCCCACCCTGGAGCCAGGCCTGGGGTCGGGGCTCGTATGCAAGCGCCTGGTGGCCGGGCCTTAGCCCACGGGGGCCCGGCCGGGCTCAGCCCAAAGGGATGACGTGGGCAGTCCCTCCTGTGGGCCCACCACCTGCAAACAGCGTGAATAGAAATGATGGAGTTAATGTTACTTTTTTTTGCTGGTTTAGGTTCTTCTTTGATTTTAAATGTGTCGTGTGTGTTTTTACAGGTTTCTAAATCAGTACAAAGGTGTTTACGAAAGGGACGTGAAATGTGACGTGAAGATGTCCCATAGCTCGGGCAGTGTGGGTCCGGGGCCGCCCTCCCCCAGCAAAGACAATGAGGTAAATGCTAGCTTCGGACTTTGTCTCATCATAAACACAATACAGTGAGTCTCGTCATAATATTGCAAGAAATATTGTACCCTGAAATCAAAATCAATCAAGTCTGTATTTGGTAAGCCTAGGCTGTTTTAAATGTGCTCTACAAAGGGATGAACAGATGGAACAAATACAGAAATGTATATATACAATAAATAAAGACTTGTCTCTTTCTCCCTGGTATTAAAAGCCAAAGAGAAAAGACAAAAATCAGCGTGGTATTGTATATTGAATCCTCTCTTCTCTTCAGGGCGATAGTTTTTCTGCTCTGGTCCAGACGTCTCTGTTGGGAAAAGGGGTGAGGCACAAACCTCCTCCAATCAAAATGCCTTCCGGATCAGGGAGCAGCTCCTCAGGTACATTCTTCTGCTCTTTTCTCTACACCTTTCTGTATTTTTACCAGGTTCGTAGTCCTGGGAAATAACCGGCTTTTGGGCGGAAATATAGCACTGATGAATACATTCTACTAGTAAACACATGCCAATAAAACAATAACTTTTTTACCTTTACTTCAATCACAATGGAACACACTGCAAGTATCCATGTAACACAAGTGTCTTTAACTCGTCGTGTGCCATTGACGCACAAATACATCATGGCAAATAGTAACGTTGTGTGACATTGACGTATTAATACGTCAATTGCGTTTTCCGCTATTTTCATGCTCCCAGATGTCTATTCTCTCTAATATGTTTGGGGATTAGGTTAGACCATATTTTATCGAGCCAGCAGGTGGCAGCAGCGCTGCGTCTGGATGTTTTGAAAACGAGATGCACTTGTGCCTCTTTTTTTCCCAGTTTTTTGTCTGAGACTGGTGATTTCAGTAAAACTTCCCCCTACTCAACTGGGGATTACAGGGGAACGAAACAAGCTAGAAACGATTCTTTCAAAATCTGGTTTCAGATTTCAGATAGTCATAGTACACAATATTCTGTGGGTCTTGAAAAATCAATACAAATCATCAGAAAGTGCTGGCAATATGAGAGTACCTGTTCTGAAATAGGCTGGCATGAAATTAGTCAAAAATAACTAGTTTGCATAATGAAATTCCTTTCCGTTTATTCATTTAAATGACAGGGACATTGCAAGTCAACCTAGAACAAAACAAGATTGTAACTGTGATGCAAAAAGAGTTTATAGCTATTGCTAATTTTCAAATCCAGTCCCTGTTTGGGCTTTTCTACACTACATAAAAATGTTCAATATTATCTTAAAAACGTTCCTATATACACTGTTTAAATCATTTACACAAACTCAGTGCTATTTACACATTTACAAATGGGTAAATTCTGTTTCGGTTTCAGCCTGGACTTAACTGGAGAAGTGAAATGAAAATGTCCACCCAATGTCAGTTATCACAATAATCCAGCAAATACAACAGTATTACATAATATAGGATGAAGAAAAAAAAATCTTTATAACCCCATTTTTATATAAAGACATTTACAAGTTAGATGGCCTAACCGGCACCAAATATACAAAAATAGCTCAAACCAATATTGCTCTAGCTTACATTATATGTGTTGATAAATACTTCTTTCTATTTTGTGTGTATTACTAACAATGATATCCTTCTTTTGACCTGTAGGTAATAATCCATATAGTTCTCAAAATACCAGTGGTCTTCTTAAGTGCCCTACGCCGCCTCCAGCCAAAAGCCAGTCTCTGAACAGGAAGCACTCCATAGAGTTGGGTCAGATGGGCCTTTTGTCTCCCGCCTCCCTCTCCCCCATGGGCTCCACGCAGAGTGAGTCCTCCAGTGCACTTTCTGCGTTTGTTTTAAAGACCTTATGACGGGTTTGATTTATTTAGAAATACAGTTTTAATACCATTTTATATTAGAAGAGAACTACTAAAGGTTTCAAAATCAGTTGTTGTTTTTTTTGTCTGACCCCCCCAAATCGAAATAACCCCATAGCAACGCCCTTAGAAACGAAAAAACTTCACAGCCCTTGGTGACGTCAGAACGGGTACGTTTCAACGCTGTAAGTTGTTTACAATTTGGTATTCGTTCTTTTTTCGCGGATATTCAAGATGACAAGGCCGTGTACAGCGAGTATGAGATAACTACTAGAATGTAACATTTCGTTGTCACTGAGATAGTCCATTGGTTGTGTCGATGGACTGCCAATCCAGATACTGGGGTTCAATTCCCACTTCGGACACTTTTTCACACTCAAAACGGCAATTTATGTGTAGTGAGCAATTGTCACCTGTAGAGGGCAGTATTGTGTTGGGCATCAGTGGAGAGAAGAGAGAAAAGGCAGTCCTGTGGCATAGATCCATGGTTTTCAATGCATGGGCGTAACCCGCTATGACGTCACACACAGGTTAGAGCATAGACAACTTAAATTCATGAAAAACACGTTCTTTTTATAAAATATAGGATTTTTTTTGCCGGAATCTCTTTCAGATTGACATTGTCATGCAATTTTGATATCCACAATTTTTTTTTTTTAAACCCGTCATAAGGTCTTTAAGTCTGTAATAACATTGTTCCATCGGCCAAAACAGACAGTAGCATCAGGACTTTTAAGAGTGTAAAGCTAGCAAGGCCTACATACCTGAGCCCAGTGAGCAATCTCGACCTGTGCTTTAGACACCTTATATTTATGATTATGGCAAAAAATCTGCGGATGTTACTGATTTGACAAAAGTATGTACCATTTCTCCCAATGTGAAGTGGCTAAATGGAATCTGACTGGTGGCTTCAAATAACTTTAAATATAGGAATGTCTTGGGAATGGGAAATCGACCTTTCAACCCAAACTGAGGTCTTTATGAAGGAGAAGAGAGAAGGAGAGGAGAGAGGAGTGGAGAGAAGGAGAGGAGTGGAGGGGAGAAGAGAGGAGAGGGGAGGAGAGACGGAGAGCGGGTAGGAGAGGAAAGAGGAGAAAAGAGGGGAGACAAGGAGAGGGAAGGGGAAGACAGAGGAGAGGAGTGGAGAGGAAAGAAAAGAAGAGAGGAGGAGGAGAGGAGAGAGAGGAACGGCAAGGAGAGGAGATGGGAGAAGAAGGTAGAAGAGAGTAGAGCTGGCAGAGTAACTATGTAAAACTAACCCTCCCTCTGTCTTCCTCCAGGATCAGGAACCCCAAAGCCATCCACGCCCACCAACACGCCCTGCTCCACGCCTCACCCCGCCGACGCCCTCATGGCCCCTCTCTCCGTTACCCCCACTCCCCCCGACCCCCCCCTGCTGCAGAGCCCCCCTGCCCTCCTGCCTTTCGCCCAGCAGCAGCTCGCACTGAGCCAGCCGCTGCCCGTCATGACCATCCCGCTGCCCACCATGGGGACCTCCATCACCACCGGCACCACCTCGTCCCAAGTCATGGCCAACGCCGGACTCAACTTCATCAACGTGGTCAGCTCTGTCTGGTGAGAGCTATATTCATTCAAATAAAACAAAATCACTAACTATAGCATCAAAGAAACATGTATAAAATCTCTATCTTTAACATAAATAATAATAATAATAAAGAAGTATAAAATTTGTACATTTGGCAAAATAAGAGGCAAGTACAAAGTACTGTGTATTGTAGTGCAAGCAAAGTAGACAGTATTTTATTAAGCCAGCAGGGGGCAGCAGAACTCTGTGGGTGTCTTGGTCAAAGATCACAGCCTGAGCACTCGGAGCAGGAGAGACAGAGGTGAAGCAGGCATGGAGTAATATAGTCTGGGTCAGGCTACATTTGGAGGCAGTTTGAGCAGTAAATGTGTCTCTAGACCTGACCGAGACCATGTGGAGGGTCAGAGCAGCAGACCAGCAGTGCACCCCAAAAAAAGCCACAGAAAAGTGGACTATTGCTAAAACTATCACTGAGTCCGCACCAGGAGCCAGTCCAGTTATGGTCACAGCGCCTGCTGGACTAAACAGAACGACACTCTGTAGATGTAACCACACAAACGCGCACATAAACGCACACACATGCGCGCCCAAACACACAAAGACACACAACAGTATTCTATTGCACTTATAGTATAGGTACATAGTCTGTTGACTTTGATTTAAGAGATAAGATAAGATAAGATAAACCTTTATTAGTCTCACAGTGGAGAAATGTATTGTCATTTATAGTGTTTATAGTGTTTATCATTGTAATTTTTCTTATTTCTGATTTACTGTTATTGACATAAATATAGAGCCACCTAAAGGATGAATACTGGCCATTTTTTTCTGGCATAGTTTGTCATGGGCTCTACTTTCAATATGTACATTTTGAGGTTTTTTGGATGAGTACATTTTGAAATATTCGAACAACACTGTGGGTGTTGTGTGTGTCATAAAACCTATTATTTTGCATGAAAAACACTTTCTCATAACTTGTTGTTGCTGTTTTTTACATGTTTGAGGAGATGCTGAAGTTAAAATAGTGTTGTTAACTTTTCTGCAGGTTTGTCTGTTTTCAAAAACACCTAATTTTCTTTTTTTCTAAGACTGGTGCGTTTTGTCACTCTCCCCTCTTTTTGACTGGAGATTACAGGAGAACGAAACAAGCTAAAAACAAACTTATTTTTGCTGTGAAAGTAGGCCGTCCTGTCTTTCAGACTTGGGTTTCATATCTTTCATAGTCATAGCACACAATAGTCTGTGAGTCTTGAAAATCAGTGATGTCATCAAAAATGGCTGGCACTCAATGAGTTAACTGTGTTGCCATTCATTCTAGATGTTAGCTTGTAGCAGTCTGCCATAAAGGCTGGATTTATAGGTTTCTTTTTTCTTGTTACAAAAATGAATTGAGTGAAAACCACATCATTGCTTCTTGTTTGGCAGCAGCCCGCAGACGTTAATGAGCGGCTCCAACCAGATGCTGGGTCCAGGGCTGGGTCCAGGGCTGAACCTGAGCAGTCTGCTGCCCTCTGGAGGCCTCATGTCGCCTGCAGGACAGTCCGGTGAGAACCTGCTTAGAATCTAGACCAGAAACCTCAACTTCTGTGTTTGAGACCAGACCTCGTCACTTGCTCTTGTCTGTTCTGGGCTTTACACCAGAATACAACATTGCTGCTTCATTCAAGACCAGACCTGGAGTTGTTTTTTTTGTTGTTTTTTTTTGTCCATGCTAATGTTCAAAGGTTCAAAATGCTCTTACTCAGATTGTGTTTAAATGGCGCATATAAGTTGCTCTCTCCCCTCACCTCTCGTCCATCTCTCCTCCCTCCTCTCTTCTCTATCCTTAGCACATTCGCTGAGTGGTTAGCAGTTAGTGGTTTAAATCCCGGTCCGAACAGGGTCTTTCTGAGTGGAGTTTGCATGTTCTCCCTATGTCTGTGCTTTCCCCTAGCACTAAAAACATCACTAGATCTGGCATGTGCCTCTTGGTGGCCTGCTCCATCTCTGTGTGGAGTGAGAGACAAATGTCCACTATTGTGACCAGAAAACATTACAACATTATTATAAATATCCTGCACTTTAAGGATAAAGGATCTCTCTTATCTTTATTTTTAGGAAATGCTTTCAGCTTAAACAGCGGTGCGAGTTTGAGACCACTGAATCTGCTGCAGGTGAGTCTCTCTGAGAAATATTAAAACTGCGGTTGGATTTGCTTAGGGGAGGTTGTTTAAGAATTAATGTATGAATTTGAAACGTATTTGTGTTGTTGTGTTTTATGGATTAATAGTATCTCCTCTTTTTATTTTCCCTGTCTGCATCACCTTCTCTCTTATCCCATCTCTTTTTTCTCTCCTCTCTCCTCCCCCTCTCCTCCCCCTCTCTCCTCCCCCTCTCTTCTCTCTCCTCTCTTCTCTCTCATCTCTCCGTCTCTCTCCTCCTCCTCTCTGCCTGGTCCTTGTGGTTGCCAGATCCCCACCGGTCCTCTCATCTTTAACTCCCTTCAGCAGCAGCAGTTGCCTCAGTTTTCCCCTCAGCAGAGCCAGTCCGCAACGTCCAGTCCTCAGCAGCAGGGGGAGACGGTGAGCTCATATGCATACACACACATACACTCTCTGGGTCTTTGAATCATTAAACAGGCATAACAATTCTCCGACAAACTACAACCGGCAAATTCAGCACAAACTTGTCACCGACACCGACCTACAACACCCGCCTCCCCCGCTCTATGATTGGTCGGAGGGGATTCAACCGAGGAAACTGCAGCCACTAGGATCAGACCCAGACGTACATGTAGGGAAATGATCATGGACCAGAGTTTACACATGGTTAAGGCTATGCGAGACTTGGAGCGGACGTGTTAAACAATTAAATTCATAGAAATTCAAGGGTAAAGGTTTTCTTTTCATTTCTCCAAGTTTATTTATGTTTCAGAGTGTTAACAAATTAATATTATTATTGTTATTAACGTTGCAGATTTGTGTTTCAGGGCGACCAAGGCACAGATCAAAGTTTAGCAAACCAGCAGACGGCCGTCATCAACCTGGGAGTGGGCAGCTTCATGTCGTCTTCAGCCGCAGGTACTTTTTTCAAATATATTATTAATTATGTGTAAAAACTCAATCTCATTTATGGATTTGAGCAAAGTCAGTCTCGCTGTTGTCAAAGATCTTTCATTCTCACAGCGATCACCAGAGAAACGCCTCTTAACAAACTGCTTTAAAGACAGAATTAAATCTTAAAGGTGCATTACTCCGCTTCCCTGGTGGAGGATCCATCTTCAGCTGAGAACTTGAGTCTGAACCAGAGCGGGGCAGATAGTCACATACATCCCCAGACAATGTTTTAGTTTATTGTTTTAGATTTTACTTTTGCCAAGTTTCTATTTGGCCGCAGATCAATGGCTTCTACTTTGTGTTAGCAGAGAATCAGACTCATTTAATTATTTTTTATTGCCGTTGTAAGTAAAAGGACATCGAAATGAAAACAATAACAAGATTTAGGGGCTGTAAAACTAATTTTGAAATTAAAATATCTCTGAACTACTGTTATCAGTTAAGAAGTATTGGAAAAGAGCAGGTTTTATTAATGACTTTGGGGCGGCACGGTGGCTGAGTTGATAGCTCTTTCGCTTCAGAACAGGACCTTTCTGAGTTGAGTTTGCATGTTCTCCCTGTGACTACGTAGGTTTCCTTCGGGTGCTCCGGTTTCCCCTAGCACTAAAAACATGTACAATAAGTCCTGGCTTGCTCCTCATGTACTGACCCCGCTCGCATCTCTTTGTGGAGTGAGAGACAAATGCCCGAAAATAACAATTGTAAACCGCTTTGTGACTCTGGTCTGTGAAAGGCGCTACATAAATAAAGATTACTTACTTGCTTTTGACAAATTAGGGCCCTATAATGATGACTTGACATGAAACTCTTACATATTGCTACTTGAAAAGAAATATTCAAACCCCTCCTCATTCTCTCATTCTCCTAAACAATTTTCTGTATTTTATATGGGTTCAAATCTGTGTATAGCTAAATATTCTTAACAATAGTTACAGCCCTAACCCAAGATCAAAGCAATAACGTCTCAATGTCCAACAAGCGGGAAGCGGACCTCGCCAGGGCTGTTGAGCAATGCACTTTTTACTCTTCGATTGTTCTTGTGTTTGTCTCATAATCAAGTATTTTACCACCGTCAAGAGAAACTGAACTTTTACTTATATTCTGCTGCTTTCTGTTCTTTTCCCTCCTGTGTCTGATCCACCTTCTCCCCCTGCTCCATTCACTCTAAATATCATAATAATAATAATAATAAATAAACTTTATTCTTTCTTCCAAATCCATCAAACCGTCTCCATCGCTGCTCTCTCAAACCCCTCTCTCTCTCTCTTCACTGATGCTGCTGCTAACCCCCATTTCCTTCTCTCGCCTCCTTCCCTTCCACCTCTGTCCTCTTCCCTCCGCGTGGCTCTTCTCTCTTCCCTCTCCCGTCTTAGTTCTGTCCCAGTTGGGCTGTGGCCTGGACGGCTCGGGGCCCCAGCTGCCTTCTCAGAGGCTTCAGCAGCAGCACCAGCCCCAGATCCAAGTAATGCAGCAACTTTAACATCTCTTCTGCACGTGACACAGACAGAGCCTCATTCATTTGTTTATTATCACAGTAACTGCGCCAAAGTTAGTTTTATTTTGGATATTTCACACAAATCTATGTATCCCCTTGACCTTTGGATTTCAAACGGTGTAAGTTTAGAGCCCCTGCACACATGAAACAAAACTTATTTTCTCAATATGCCTTTTGAGAAAATAATAACTAAGGATAAGTGCAGGAGGATCAGCGAGGGACCCCCCCTGACCCAGAAATGGACTAATAAAGGGGTAGAAAATGAATGAATAACTAGTCAACTCTCCTACTGGGAAGTGACCAATATAGGAGAGAGGGGTGAGGAAGGAGAGGAAATGAGTGGAGTATTGGCCAGAGTGGATTTTAGGAGAGTATGAGGTGTAGAAGAGGGAGGGATAGAGGAAAGATATATATGGAGTGAGCAGTAGTATTTAGATGTAAAAGGGGGGGGGGGGTTGTAGTGGGTAATGGCAGCTAAATGTCCAAGATTGGTGTGAATATGTTATTGTATATATGTTAAGTGTTAATAAATGAATAACAAAAAGGCTTATTGGAAAAAAAATCTTTGTTTCATGTGAGAACTATAAACTGTAATTATTAACGGACTAGTCACAACTATCCGCTGTTCAAACTAATGTGCCACGACTTCTGCCTTCTGTGGGGTTTTTAAAACAGTAAATGAAAAGTTAGCCTGCATGAGCCCCATTCATGCCCCCAACGAGTGCGTTCAAAAGTCCACAGCGGCTAAACTAGATTAGTCCAAAAAATTGACAGCATCTGGAATGTAGCGTTGGACCATCCTGTAAAGAGGTTTTTGAGAAGAAACTAGACATCGAAGCCATACAAAAGCATTGGGTAATTCTGTTTCCGGGTACACCCCCACAGGGCCCATGTCAGTGAACGTGCTTATGGCCGTTTTGGAGCCGGGACCCGTTCACACTGGCACAGACACACACCTGTTATGAAATCAAAGGTCATAAGGGGTTTTGAGTTAAATGTGTCAAATATCCAAAATAAAACTAACTTTACCGCAGTAAAGTTAGTACAGTTTGGATTTGTGTGACAACGATGTGTTAATATTGAAGCACAAACACATTTAGTATTGTGTCTGTTGTCTTGGCTTCATGTTATGTGTTCGGTACGTACCTGGCCCCAAACCATTTACTAACTGTGAGAAGGTCCAGGGTTCAATTCCACCTCTCTGTGTGGAGGTTTGCATGTTCTTCCCGTGTCTGTGTAGGTTCCCTCCAGGTGCTCCGGTGTCCCATAGCACTAATAACACGTACAATAGGTCTGATTGTAATGAGTGAGAATGGAAAATATTGCTACTCCAAATTTTTCAAAAACACCTTTGTTGGAGCTTGGTCTGTTATATGCGCTATATAAATAAAAATGACTGCGCAAGAAGCAAGACATATTTTAGGTTTTCTTTCACCCAGTGCTGTCTTTGGTTCAAACTGATCCGCCACAAAGATTAAAAAATACTGTTAATAAACCAGAAATTTAAGCTGAATTTTGATGCTTTTTCGCCCTCTCTCCTCCTTCTCTTCTCCTCTCCTCCGCTCTCCTTCTGTCTCCTCCCCTCACCTTTTTCCTGCTCTCTCTCCTTGTCTCCTCCTCTCTCTTCTCCTCCTTCTCGCTCTTCTCGCCTCCTACTCTTTTCTCTTCTCTACTCTGCTCTCCTTCTGTCTCCTCCTGTCTCTTCTCCTCTCCCCTCCTTGTCTCCTCCTCTCTCCGTGTCTGTTCCTCTCTCTCCTTCTCTCTTCTCCTCTGCTCTCCTATCTCCTCCTCTCTCCCCTTTCTTCTCCTCTCTTCTCTCTCCTTTTTCCTAGCTTGGCCAGCTTTGGGTCATTACAAACCCATTTAGACCCAGATTTAGTGTATTTTTCTTCTATCTGTGGCGGTCACTTTGACTGGAGGAAATCACAGGTGGAGTTTGAGTCTCAGCTGCATGTCTGATGAAGGCCACAGTCTCCGTCTGTCCCTGTCCTTCTGTCGTCGCTAACTGCTAACCGCTGACTAACGCCGCTACACACTGCGTCAGCTCCTTCCAGACCCCAGTTTATGGTCTTGTATTCACCCCGATTGATCCCACTGTTACTGACGTTTTTCTCTCTCTCTGCACTTCCCAAAACAGTTACAATTCTTGCAGCACCAAATGCAGCAGCAGCAAATGGCTTTGGGGGCGGGGGCTCCTCCGGGGGGGGGAGCACAAAGGCCTCATACCGCCACTCAGCCAAGAAGTAAGAGGAAGAGGAGCACGCCACAGCCGCTACCCAAGACATGACCCAGTCCCTGTGCCGGTCCCTGCCCCTGCTCCGGTCCTTGCCCCTGTTCTGGTCCATGCCCCAGCCCCCTCAAAACGGACACCAACGATCCATACTGTGCTCAAGCCTTTCTGCGGCCGAAAAGACTGATGTGTTTTGTCTTTTATAGCTGACATGTGATTTGTAATGGTGGTACGTGATTTCGGGGGAAAAAAACCCAAATGGGGTTTTCTTTTTTTAAGAATGGGAAGCACTATGCTGAAGGAACCTTAGTAATATTTTTCGACAATAAGGCGGTTCTTGTTGGTAGCAGGCTTCCACAATAATGTATTATCCTCCAGACCTGGTGGGAGGGAGGAGGAGGTGGAGTGGGAGTCGAACCCTTTAAAAGCTCGGATCGACACCAAAAAGCCTCCACTTGAGCTGTTATGAGAGAAGATGCAAGAAATCAAAAGTTGGGAGTAGTGCCTGGGGCAGCCCTCTACCTCTGCGTGTTTGGAATCTCTCTCTCTTTCTACAAAACAAGGACTGAGATCAACACGCAAGATGGCGTCCACTGCTTTTGTACAGCACATTTTGAAAAAACGGCATTTCCTTTTACATAGAACAGGAGCCATGAGTAATTCTGGAGACATGAACTGTGCGTGTGTGTGTGCATCTGTGTGAGTGTGTGTGAGGATAAGACATTTCTGGACACTGAGAAATAATTTTTTAAGCAGTCTTTGTCAGCAGTTTTATTGTTATTAAAAAAAGAATATATATTGACAGTGGAAAATACAGCTTTTAGATAAAACCTTGGCTGAGACTGGTTATTGTGGCGTCTTCACACTCTGCAGGACTTTGCCGATCAGGATCTGGACCTCTCTCTGTCGCACCACCGCTCGGCCGATCACCTCCTGTAGCTTCTCCCCAGACAACGAAGACCCGCCTCGAAAAAAAACACTCAATGTTACAGTTTCACAGATATCAGACTTTTTGGACTATAAGGGGCACCTGTGTATAAGCCACACCAGTGAAGTTTAAAAAGAAAGTTGTTTGTCACATAGGCTGCAGGTTTTTATGTTTAATGAACAGAGATGAGAGAGACCAGAGAGAGACCAGAGAGTCAAAATAAGTCCATAAACTGCTCTGACGACAGCTCGACTGTCACAATAAACCGCAGGGTTCAAACAACTAGAAAAAAGTATCTGCTTATAGTACAGAGATTACAGTATTTAACCCAGAGACCAGGAGTGCTCATAACGGCAGAGTGGCTGTGACAGAGAAATGTCTCACCTGGTTTGTGCATGGAGCAGAGTCTCTCCTCCTCGTCCGTGACCACAGTGAGCTGCGACGTCAACAGACTTTCTTCTTCTGCTGTTGGATCCACGATCACAATGGATCTGTAGGATGTGAGCAGAGTTCTGTTAGATTCAGAACACGGTAACGCTTCACGTCTTTAAATCAAGAGCCTGCACCATCAACACTCACTTGTCAAAAACCCCAAAAGAGGAGGCCACTGGATGTCTGTGAATCTTGAGCCCTCGTTTCTTCTCGAAATTCACTTCAGGCAAAGAGGTGTCAGCACTGACGGTGACTTCTGGGAGTTGTGCTTTGAAAATGCAAAGAGAAAGTGAAACCAAAACGTGTAACAAAATCAGTTTATAAAGCAGACAAGGTGTGTGTGTGACATATCCATAAACTATGACTTTATATTAAAACATAAAAGTATCAGGCTTAACCCTCGAGGAGCCAAAGTAGCAGAATTGATCCTAAAAACAGGACATCGGGGCAGTGGCGTGAATGACATACGTGGGACCGGACCGGACGTACCATGGCGGTGCTGGCTGCCGGGTATATACACAGAGATATAGTAGAAGAAGAAGCACTGTCTTTTTGTGCGGCGTACGCTTGTAGCAACAGAGTACATAGAGAGAGAGACGAGAGTTTCTTCCGTGTTCCAACTGTGGTCTCGTAAAAAGGAGTACACTTTGAAAGAAATCACTGGAATGAGGCAGGCGAGGTGGATCAAGGCTTTCCCAGATAACTGCCCCCTGCAGGCCACCCAAATGAAACGCAGCAATTTCTTCTGTTCTATTTTTGAGAACGATTTTTTTAGTACTCGCTTAGAATTGAGTGTCCCCGATTACAACAACCGTACACCGCACAGGATGAGAGCCTTTTCACTCCAAAACAGACTTTACATGGTTTTCAATGCAGCAAAATTGTCCCATCTCTGCTCATTCGCCTCCTACAGGCCAGGTTCATGAAACCCAAGAATACAGTGACATGGCTTCCCACAATTGTGTTCCTACATTTTTCTTCCACAATTATCTTTTATATATTTCTGTAACCCTTGTGCTAGTCTCAGCTCAAATTTACCCGCCACAGTGATTCAAAAACACCCTAAATAACAAATGAATTTTGATTATATTTTCTACGTTGACCAGCTGAGTCATTTGACCCTTTTAGAACCCTAATTTAGGTATTTATTTTCCGTTTGTATTCAACTGTGGTGGGTAATTTTGACCTGAGGTTAGCACAAGTTGCATTTATCTATCTCTGACTATTTATGCATGTTTCTTATGTATTGTCTATTTCACAACACATTTCTCCAAAAACGCTGGCGCTTACAGAGTTAAAAGTTTTTCAAATGGGGACAAATATACACACATAAAACATAATACAAGCCACTCAGCATTTCTTCTGAACACAAAATGAGAAGAACGTACTGTTTTGTAAAGCGGCCAGAAGAGCAATAACACAGGCGTCCAGGAGGTTCCCGTCGTGGTCCAGACACAGGAGGTCACAGTACAGCACCCAGCAGAGCTACAGCACACACACACTTCACATCACGGAGATTCACTTTGAACAGATTCTGACATTTTACCTTCCCTCTTTCTATGCAAAGATCTTCTGTTTTGATTATTTCTGAACTGAAAAACAGGAAGGTAAGTTTATTTGTATAGCACAGTTCTTACACAAAGCATCTCAAAGTGCTGAATAAAACAAAAGAATCATTCAAATCAATTTTGATCTCAGTGCGTTAAAAAGAAAAGATATAATCCTTCAGTTGTTTTTAACCTGGATTTTAGCATTGTCAGAGAAGAAGCCTGTCTCACATTTTCAGGAAGACTACTATATTTTAGCTGCATAAATCTGAAACTCTGCCTCTTCATGTTTAGTACTGACTCTGGGACCAGCAGGAGGCCAAGAAGTGATGGTACTTCCTGGTTTTAGTCAGGACTAGAGCTACAGCGTTTTGAGTGAGCAGCTGTTACTAAAGTATAAATACTAACTTATACTGGAGACAAATTCATGGATAAGAATTTCCGAGTCTGCTTTAATTCTGGATGTTTTTCAGATGCTAAAAAGCTGCTGATGTGACTGAAAAGAGATTTTAATCCTTGTGTACATTTACCTTTCTATGATGTCTGCTATGAACTGACTGGCCGCCTGAGCCTGTTCCCCTGGAGGTCCGGGCCGGAACCGAGACGAGCACAGAGGAGGGAGGTCCACATTTGGAACTAAACAGATAATAAAAAAATGAAAATATATTCACCATAAAATACTCACTGCTTCGAACAGGATTTGAGGCCAATCTCTGAAACTATATTTGCCTAACCTCCAGAAGCAATTTAATTTCGATTCATACAATATACTCTAAAGCTGTATTTCTTTAATAATAATAAAAACAACAGGGAACAGGGAGAATCTTGTACAACTAATCTTTATCTTTGAATACTAAAAAAACAGTTTTGTGAATCAAATTTTGCCATTTGTTTTGAGAGCAAGGAACTCGTTACATGCATTACACCGTTCCATTTGTGGTTTAAAAGTTAGGTACCTCAGCTTTAACCGAATACATATTGGTTCTCTCTTTAGTCAATTATTAAACTCCTTCTTTAAATGCTCCATTGGCCAAACCTATTTTACAATGTGCATCTCTAGATAGAAAAAGTCTGGGCGTCTCTGCTTAGACTGCTGCCCCCGCGACCCGGCAACAGATTAAGTGGAAGAAAATGGATGGATGGATAGATAGAAAAATTCACAGACCCATGTAACCTTTTCCGGGCGCCTCCACCGTGGGGTTGGAGAGTTCCTGGCAACAAAATAACCATATAGAATTCAGAGCAAATTCCAATGATCAAAGACATATTTTGAAATGATTCTTTACCGCTTTAATGCCGCATATGACGGTCGTGTTTCCCAGTTTCACCAGAGCAGAGCCGTCCGCCGTGGATATAGAGCCTGTGCAAAATAGTGAGACAAAAAGTTAACAAAAAGAACTGTTTATTTATTATATTAGAGTACTACTTGGCCCAACTCTACCCAGCTCTACTCTACCTTCATTCCTGCCCTGCTTAACTGGCACTAGGGACATATTTAGTACAGTGCCTGCTTTTAACTTTGTATTTAACTATATTTGAACTGTTTTTATTAAATTGCACTTTTTTACTTGTATGTAAGGCGACCTTGAGTGTTAAGAAAGGTGCCTATAAATAGAATGTATTATTATTATTATTATTATTATTATTATTACCTTCTTGGTCCTGGTTCTATCCGGGCCCTAAATGTTGTACTAAAATGTTGTAACTGACCGTGATTGGCCAGAGTGCTGCTGGAAGCCATGGTTACCGAGTATTTTCCACGGATAGAGGTTCGTTGTGGGTGGGTTGCTAGGATACGGTAGCACAGACTGAAGTGTAATGGAAACAGAACCAGGTAGAGTAGAGCCAAGTAGAGTAGGGTTGGTGGAAAAGAGGCTAAGCAGAGTCTCACCTATGTTCAGTGTGGTGACTCTGAACTCTGACAGCTCACGTCCATCAGACCGACACTGTTCCTTCTATTGAAAATACATAAAACAGATTGAATTAGCCTAAACTACTCTTCTATCGTGTCATATTTGATTTTGAATACATACCAAAAAACTTCTATGATACTCCAATGGTTCAGCAGTTCTGCCAACACAATAAAAAATATCTAATCAATCCATTACCTGTATTATATTACACAACACATAGATCTATGGGATTCTGCATCTGATGATTCACTTTACTGGTATTTACAAACCGATCTTTCAAACATTTCAAACATAACAAGAGAAAACGTGTAGGTGTACAGTCAGTTAAGACAGACATCTACAGCACATTAAGTAATAAATAAAAAAGATGAATGTATTTTGTGACATTTACTTGAATCCAGCCGCCATGATGTTTTGGTTGAGCACGTGAATGTGCGGTGTACGACGGAAGCCGAAAAGCGATACTGTTCAACTCAACGCAACTGTAAATAGAAATAAATAAATACAAGATACGGAAATATTTAAGAAGATTTTTTTATAATTAAATTACTTCAATGTGTATACAATATGTTAAACATTCAGTATTTGCATGCTCAATTGGCTGTACACGTTGTCTAAATGTTGGGAATAATTATAAAAAACGTACACACGATGGGCACATACGAATGAATACAAATACTTATCTTTTGCCCTTTGCTTTGCTTATTTTAAAGTGTGGTAGAATTAAAAACTACTTAAAACGTACATTGAACAAATTTAGAGCTGCCTTGTTTTTTCTCCACAACAAAAATCAGACCCAATGAGACCAAATGTTTACACTCGTCCCTTCTGTGAATAATAATATAAAATAGCTTAAATTTCCACTATTAAAGATACCATTTTTATAACTTTTTTTAGGTTAAAATGTTGGGAAAGTTATCATAAAAATAGCTTGTGCATTGTGTTGTGGAAAATTAACGCTATGCTAAACCTCCTGTCCTCGCGGTGGTGCTGTATGCTAGCGGCTCTGAGTCCAGCGTCGGATTGATGATGTGTCTGCTAACTGCACTTCCGCGTCAGATGTGGAGGGACTTCCAATGAAAATATAACACTTTTAACATCATGATTTCACGTTTGAGCTGATCTGTAGTGTAGCTTCACCCTGGGCCTTGGTTTCCCCCACAGCTTTGACCGAGAGCCGTAAGAGATTGGAGGAACATGGACTGTCTGTGTGAAATTGTGGGAGCTTTAATAGCATTGGCAGCTCTTGCAGTGATTGTGGTAAGTTTAAATTGTTTCGGATTGTTTTAATGTTTGGCCTGAGTGAGGGTCGTATTCCCTGATATTTGTGTGTTGAAGCTATTGAGATCTGAACTGACACGAAACGGGATTTTATCTTGTTTACATAGCTACAGTACAGCACTTGAATGTTAGAAATGAATGGATAGTTAAAGATGTACGTCACTGCACTCTCTGTTTGCTATGTGCAGATCATCAATATTGCCTAAATGCCTACATTTCATAACTGGTCAATAGAAACAGGGCAGAACCTCAAAACTAACTTGAAAAGTCAACCTTCCAACGCAAAGACACTCAAAACATTTAAGATGAATAGATCCTTTATTTGTCCCACTGTGGGAAATTTCAGTGTTGCATCACCAGTTTCAGAACAGTAGGAATGAGGAGCACACAGCACTAGATGAACAATAACTCTATATAGTAAATAAGTAAGTAATGTTTATTTATATAGGTCACCCAAAGCGCTTTACAATTGTTCAGAGTTCAGATATTGTTCCATTCACACCCGGTGATGATGGAAGCGAGTCGCCAAACACACTGGCGCATCAGAGCCTCCAATCACTCACTCACTCATTACATTCAGACCTGTAGTGCATGTTTTTAGTGGTAGGGGAACCGGAGCACCCGGAGGAAACCTACGCAGACACGGGGAGAACATGCAAACTCAACTCAGAAAGGCCCTGTTCCGACCGGGATTCGAACCCAGGACCTTCTTGCTGAGAAGCGAGAGTGCAATCCACTCAGCCACCGTGCTGTCCACCTATACTTTAATAATAAAATATCATCTCGAAGCAAGTATTAAATAATGTATTTTCTAGGAAATACGTATAATGTATACATTATGAGGGTATGGGGCAAAAGTGACAAAGTGAAGTTACAGTGGACACATGTGGTTCTATATTGCACATTAGTCATATTATTGCGCACATACACAACATGTATTATTGTTTGTTGTACAGTCTGACAGCAGCAGAAAGGAAAGACCTGCAGAACCCCTCCTTCTCACAGCGAGGGTGGATCAGTCTGTCACTGAAGCTACTCTCGAGAACAGACAGAGTGTCCTACAAGGGGCGACAGTCACTTTCCAGCATAAATGTTAGTTTGTTAGTTCGTATACCTAAGTCATAAGACAAAGTTGCAATTTTCACTCCCAATGACTCTACCGAAGTGTTTTACCCTGTAAAGCATTATTGTTGTTCTCCATCAGTCGTCTCCTTGTCTCATGTTTTTCAGGTGTTAGTTGTCGCTCATGTTACTGCGGGGAAAGTGAACATGGAACGTCACGAACAGGAGAAACACTTCCTCAACGCTGCAGGACAGAAACAGAGCTTCCCGAGCCTCAAGGACCCCTCCTCCATCGAGCTGTCTGTGGTGGTGCCCGCTTACAATGAGGAGCAGAGGCGTGAGTCTAGTTTAGTTTAGTCAAGTTTAGTTTAGGCTTGTCCTGTTTGTTAAGATCCCTATTCTTCCTGGGGCCTCCTTCTAAATCATTACGTGGTATACATATTATTACATAGAATTAATATAAGAAAAAAATCCTCTCACACACATGACGACATGAAAGCTCAATGGGAAAACAATAAAAAACTATCAGAAAAATAATAATAACAATACATGCATCCATACATATAAACCCGCACAAAGAGTCACAACTTCATCAGAGTTAATATCTTAATACTTGAGTTAATATCTTGTATTTCATGAGAGAACGGTGGCTGAGTGGATAGCACTCTCGCCTCTCAGCAAGAAGGTCCTGGGTTCGAATCCCGGCCGGACCAGGGCCTTTCTGAGTGGAGTTTGCATGTTCTCCCCGTGTCTGCGTAGGTTTCCTCCGGGTACTCCGGTTTCCCCTACCACTAAAAATATGTCCAATAGTTCTGGCATGTGCCTCCTGTACTGGCGACCCCGCTCCCATCTCTGTGTGGAGTGAGAGACAAAATGCCCAAAATTAACAATAGTAAACCGCTTTGAGACTCAGATCTGCAGTGAAAAGGCGGTATATAAATAAAAACTTACTAACTTACTTACTTACTAGAATGAAAAAGCCCTATCACACCAGCATTCTGAACAACTAGTTGATCAATTGAAAGAATAATTGCTTGGTTCTGCCCTTTAGGTTTGGCCACTGGTGATACATTAACCCTTATTATAAGTTGGAACGCAAATGTTCACAAAGCATCATTCACTCATTCTAACAATTGAAATTATAGATACAACTTTAAGTTATTCTTCTCCTTCTCTTTTAACATAAAGGAGGTCAACCATGTAACACTATCAGCGTTCTAAAAAACTATTCTGCCTGTGGTCGCGCCGGTATTGCAGGTTTCTTTGTTGTCGTTTGTAGAAAAATGTGTGTTGTGTGTGTGTGTGTTCCAGTGCCCGTCATGATGGAGGAGGCCATGGATTACCTCGAGCAGAGACAGGTGACTGTGCTGGGACTTTTTACACCGTGGGGCTGGTCCAAAGCTGGTCCGGAGCCGAGATTTCTTCTATAGATGAAAAATATTGTATACCTTAGCACAGGGTTAGGCAAGTAGATTCAGCCTACTTTATACCACCAGGGGGCGATGCATTTGAGCAGCATAGGGCATGAAAAACAAAAAGGACAACAAAACAAAGGAAATGAGAGAGACCAGAGAGAGAGACCCCAGAGAGAGAGACCCCAGAGAGAGAGACCCCAGAGAGAGAGAGACCATAGAGACCATAGAGACCATAGAGACCATAGAGACCATAGAGACCATAGAGACCATAGAGACCATAGAGACCATAGAGACCATAGAGACCATAGAGACCATAGAGACCATAGAGACCAGAGAGACCAGAGAGACCAGAGAGAAGTCCATGTATTCATTTCAACTTGTTAAGTAATAATAAAATATAACTTTTGAACCATATTCTACTTTTCTGAGTTTCACATGAATTCCTGTATATTATGTTTTACACAAAGACTGTGGTAGTCGCTGTTTCTCTTCATTTCTTTTTCTCTTCACTTTCAGAAAAAGTCTCCTTCCTTCACGTATGAGGTCATAGTCGTGGATGACGGCAGCAGAGACAAAACCACACAGGTTTGGGTTCAACACTTATTCCATGACCTTTAAATCTGATTATATTCCTGTTGTAAGGGCTGCCTTTTGTTCTTCCAGGTTGCCTTGCACTACACAGAGAAGTACGGGTCCGAGAAGGTGCGAGTCCTGACACTGGTGAAGAACCGAGGAAAAGGAGGTGCCGTGCGGATGGTCAGTCATTCTGAAAATTCTCTACGTTTTTCTAAGTGATGATCAGGGACATTTGTTGGAAAGGAAAGTGGGTAGCATTGCACACTCAGCTCAGATGTCCTAATAGTCTTATTCTTGACGTTTCAGCTTTGTGCTTTCATCAGATCATGTTTTTTCTTTTGACCACTAATTTTCTTTTCTTTTTTTCTTTTTATTGTTTTCTTGCATCTGCACCTCATTAAATCAAATTTACATCCATGTGTGTGTGCATACATCCACACACACACATATCTCGTTGGCAATAGTCACATAGGGTAGTACAGTAGAGTATTTGTCTATATTAATGAATACATTTATTTTGACTTTATTGTTATAATGACGAGTGGCTAAAATTATTTTCATTATTTACTTTATTTTTACAAGATATTATTTCATTAGCTATAAAATTACACATTTCTTATCCTAGCAGTAGCAGCAGCAGTAAGTAATCTTTATTTATATACCACCTTTCACAGACCAGAGTCACAAAGCGGTTTACAATTGTTATATTAGTCTCTCCACACAGAGATAGGAGCGGGGTCGCCAGTACAGGAGGCGCATGCCAGAACTATTGTACATGTTTTTTAGTAGTGGGGGAAACCGGAGTACCCGGAGGAAACCTACGCAGATACAGGGAGAACATGCAAACTCCACTCGGAAAGGCCCTGGTCCAACTGGGATTCAAACCCAGGACCTTCTTGTTGAGAGGCGAGAGTGCTATCCACTCAGCCACCATGCCGCCCAGTTGTAGCAGCAGTAGCAGTAGCTGTAGCTGTAGCTGTAGCAATAGCAATAGCAGCAGTAGCAGTAGTAGAAGTAGCAGCAGTGGCAGCAGCAGTAGCAGTACTAGTAGACTTTTCATACAAATGATAAAAACTTTTACCTGAGCCACAGACGCTTGTTCCAGATATGCTCAAAAACCACAGGAAATGGCCATATTTATGACAAAATATCTTCACGCTTTTTAATGCATGTATGATTTTTATTTTATTTTTTTTCTTGTTTGGTTGAGTGCTTTGAACCTTGTGTATGAACTGTGCTATACAGATAAACTTGCCAATGTGTGTGTGTGTGTAGGGGACGCTGAGCTCCAGGGGCAGACTGATCTTAATGGCCGACGCCGACGGAGCCACAAAGTTTTGCGACATCGAGAAAGTGGAGAATGCTCTGAACCAGATCGACCCCAAACCAGTGAGATTCAACATGGGTTATTTTCTAATCTGCTATCAGCAAATCAGCAACTGTGTCAAGTCCCTTTGAGGCGACTGCTGTTGTGATTTTGAGCTGTAGAAAAAGTAATAGATTTGATGTTTTATTGTTTAAATGTAAGATGAATGTTTGGATGTCTTTAGGAGAATATGGCCATTTCCTGTGGTTCTCGAGCGCATCTGGAACAAGAGTCTGTGGCTCAGGTAAAAGTTTATATTATTTTTATAACATGTACTGCTGCTGCTACTGCTGCTACTGCTGCTGCTACTGCTGCTGCTGCTACTGCTGCTACTACTGCTGCTATTGCTACTGCTACTGCCACGTGCACTTGTTATGTATTTAACATTTTGTTGTTGATTGGTTTTACAGCAACAATTGATTCTTGTACTATTTCACTTGTTTTATTTATGTATTTGTCTGGTGCACACTGGGGACTCTGGTCTCTCTCTCTCTAGTCTCTTTGGTCTCTCTCGGGTCTTTCTCTCTCTGGTATCTTGCTGGTCTCTCTCTTGTATCTATCTTTCTCTGGTCTCTTTGGTCTCTCTCTCTGGCCTCTCGCTCTCTGGTCTCTCGCTCTCTGGTCTCTCGCTCTCTGGTCTCTCGCTTTTTAGTCTCTCTCTCTCTCTCTCTGGTCTCTTTGGTCTCTCTTGGGTCTTTCTCTTTCTGGTATCTTGCTGGTCTCTCTCTTGTATCTATCTTTCTCTGGTCTCTTTGGTCTCTATCTCTTTGGTCTCTCTCTCTCTGGTCTCTCGCTCTCTGGTCTCTCTCTGGCCTCTCGCTCTCTGGTCTCTCGCTTTTTAGTCTCTCTCTCTCTGTCTCTCTCTGGTCTCTTTGCACTCTTACTGCAGATGTCAAACTATCTGAATCCTTTACCTCCTCCTCTTCTTCCTTGTTCCCTTTAGCGTTCCGTCTTCAGAACGTTCCTGATGCTGGGGTTCCACTTCCTGGTTTGGTTCTTCTGCGTCAGAGGCGTCCGGGACACGCAGTGCGGCTTCAAACTCTTCACTCGAGAAGCGGCTCTCAAGACGTTCAGCTGTCTGCACGTGGAGCGATGGTACCTCACACCATTGCAGCTGCTCTCGTACCAGCCACAGTCACTTTAACACAGGGGTGATGTGTTTGTTTCAGGGCCTTCGATGTGGAGCTGCTGTACATCGCTCAGGTGTTTCAGATTCCTATCGCAGAAGTCGCCGTTAACTGGACTGAAATAGAAGGTTGGTTTGTTTTTCTTAGAATCACTGGTTTATTTTTGAAGCAGAAGTCAATTTCAAGTGTGCCTCCTCCCACTGCTACCACTAGATGGGAGTGTTGCTCATTGGTCGCATTTTCGTCTGAATAGATGACGCAGGGGCGACAGTAGCTCAGTTGGTAGAGCATTGGCCTTAAGGCCAGAAGGTTGTGGGTTCAATTCCCACCTCTGCACCTTCTCCACCGACTCCCACTGATGACTGCTATCGTTGTGTCCTTGGGCAAGACACTTAACCCCACTTTGCCCAAAGCCCCCACTGAAAGATCAAGGCTATGCTCACAGTCAGAGAGCAGCCGTCCTCCTGTGGACTCACCACCTGCAGAGGGTCAGTGAGGGGCTGGTGCTATGAGACTTGGGTGGCATCTCTGATTGCCACCCCCCTGACCCAGAAATGGATTAAAGGGTAGAAAATGGATGGATGGATGGATAGATGATCTATTCTATGTATTTAAATTCAAGAAATTATCATATTCTCAAACACGATCTGTAAATATTGTCAAGATTATTTTCAAGGCTCACTATGAGCTTTGAAAAAAGAGAGAGACCAATCAGAGCGAGAGATTGGGTCTCTCTCTCGCTCTCTCTTGTCTCTCTCTGTGGTCTCTCTCTCTCTCTGGACTCTCTCTGGCCTCTCTGTCTTTGATTTCTGGTCTCACTCTCTCTTTTTCTCTCTCTGGACTCTCTCTGGTCTCGCTCTCACTTTTTCTCTCTCTGGACTCTCTTGTCTCTCTCTGGTCTCTGTCTGGACTCTCTGGTCTCTCTCTCTGCTCTCTCTCTCTCTGGTTTCTCTCTTAATACCAGTACCATATGCTTCATGTCCCCCCTCCCGTCTCTTCAGGATCCAAACTGGTCCCGTTCTGGAGCTGGCTGCAGATGGGTCGAGACCTGGTTTTCATTCGCCTTCGCTACGTCACAGGAGCCTGGAAACTGCAGCCGCCTCTAAAGACTGATTAACTTCATCACCCATCACTGGTATCACTGGTACATGTGATCACTGGTACACCTGATCACTGGTCTGCCTGTTTTATCAGGCCCAAAAAGCCTTAAGAAGGGAAGCAACAACTGTGTCTTATGGAAAACATGAGAACGCCAGCCGCCATCTTGTTTTAACCTTCTGGGTCTCGTGTATAAAGTGGCGTGTGTGGGTCCTTGTTACACACTGCTTCGTTGTGCACTGACTGAGTTACTTATTTTGGATCAATCAATATTTGTTTGTATTTTATTTTGTCTTTATAAAGTGAAGGAAGCTGGATTGGGTCAGGGCTGTATGCAGGATTTAAAACGTTTTCAAGTTGCGGAAATTCCATGATGCTTTTTGGCCTGAAGGGGGCTCTCTATGGATGTGCTATGTTATGTTATAGTTCTCTACGTGGACTAGAGGCCACCCGCGGTACTGCAGCTTAAATCCACACTGTATGTATCTGCTGTATGTGGAGATTTTCCGTAGACCTCACTAAAACAGGGAACCTACAGCTTTCACAAGGGTCAGGTCAGTGGAAGTTTAGGGTCCCTCGTCCTGAGCCGTTTTTTTTTTTTTCTTTTGTAATCCATCCTTTTTCTATAAATTCACATTTTAGTGCAACCAACTCTGCTCGCCTTTGTCCCATTCTAGCTCTGATTGATCTCTCTCTCTGGTCTTTCTCTCTGTATTTTTCTCTAGTCTTTCTCTATCTGATCTCTCTCTCTTGTGTCTCTCTAGTCTCTCTCTTGTCTTTCTCTCTGGTCTGTCGCTCTCTTTCTGGTCTCTCTCTAGTCTCTCTCTAGTTTGCTCTCTCTGGTCTCTCTCTGGTCTCTCTCACTGGTCTCTCTCACTGGTATCTCTCTGGTCTCTCTCGCTGGTCTCTCTCTCTGGTCTGTCTAAGAAGCTAAAGTATACAGTCGATGACCATAAGGAGAATACCATCCCTGCAGCTTTAGGTCTGTACTCGGATACTTTATAAGTACATTCAATGAAAGACTCCCTGAAAATCAACAGCCTTTTTGTCTTGACTTTAAGCCCAGTCTCTGTGTCCTCTCAGACAATATTTGAATTTTGCACAGTCCAGTAGGGTTTTCAACAATAACTACGACAATGTGTCCGGCCCTTTGAGCAGTAAAATTAAATGGACTAAGCAACTTTATCATCAAAAGCTCAGCAAACGTATAAAATGTGAGTCCATGAAAAAGAAGAAAAGGATCTGAAAGGACCTCATCAATCTGACCTCTGCGGATCAAAATCTAATCGTTGGTGTGTGGGAAACGTAGAGGACTTGGAAGAAATCATGAATAAAAAGTCCAAAGAATATTGCCTTTGTGCTTATCTATATTAAATCATTGTTTAAAGTGGCCCGGCTCCTGCTGCTGCCGATCTGTCTTTGTTTTGGGGAGAGGGTCCAGTGGCGTTGTTATGATGGAGAGCTCCTGTGAGGCTGAGGTCAGATGATCATGTGTCTCTGGCCCTGGAGCTCATCCTGTTTGTCTGGCAAGGCAAGTTTATTTGTATAGCACAATTCATACACAAGGCAACTCCAACTGCTACAAACAAAACAAGTCTTCCTCTGTCCGGTCATGAGCAGGGCCACCTTAAAAACCCATAGTATCCTCTAGACACAATTCAATGTACTGTATCTGTGTATAGCCCTAAATCACAACAGCAGTCATCTCAAAAGACTTTACAAACAGATCAGAGACAAACCGTTCATATACAATAACAAACATATAGGAGCTATTGGTTCATTGGGAGTAGGATGACCACTGTCCAGAATAAATGTCCTGCATCTGCAAGAAACGACAACAACAAAAGTGAGAAACCTTTATTGCTGTAATTTACAGTAAATCCTGACAAAATCACAAACATAAAAGACATAGTTCGGCATTTTTAATACTTGGTTGCCTTTTCCAAGGAGAAGTGATCTTCGAAGCAGAGACACAGCAGAGAGTGCTCTGTGTTTGCTTCCAAAACCAGCTCTAACTCAGATCAGGCGGCAAACTCCTTTTGAAAGTACAAGACACACCTTCATATGCATACAGGGCAGGCAGAGCCAACACAACAAAAGAGCAATGAGAAGACTTTCCTTTTTAGCATGTTCAAAACCCTGCTTCCTCCTGGCATTAACACACGACTCCCCATTCACTCTGGAGTCAACAATACAGACAGTTTATCATTCAGCATATAATCTAGCCACGCATGATTTATCACAATGATAACTTAAGTTACATTCCAATATCAGAAACCTTTGGGGGGGCCACCTTGAGAGAGGGACTCAGATTGTGCGAGGACTGAGGCTGTTCAGTGAAGACCACTGGATTCTGCTTCACCCCTTCTTTCAGTGCCGACCCGGACCCTCAATCCTGCTATTCCTACATATTATAAAATCAAGAGTTAAATGTTTCATGGATGGTGAGTGGTTGGAACTATTGCCTCTCAGCAAAAAGGTCCTGGGTTCAATTCCACCTCTAGACGGGGCCTTTTTAAGTGGAGTTTGCATGTTCTCCCCATTTCCCCAAACACTGAGAACATGTAAAAAGAGCTCCTCTCTCTCTCTGGGGCCCGAACATCCTTGAAAATTTGATTCTGAAATCTTAGTTCCTGGTAAATAAATGTCAATAAAGACAAAGCAAGATTTGTTTTCTCAATCTTGAATCTTGAATGCACAAAGAATCAGAATCATTTTATTGCCACGTAAGTAACAGGAAGTCACAGACTCGGAAATTGCTTTGGCTCTCCGTGCATTAGTGAGAAAAGAGAGGTGAAGAATAGAGAATAAAATAATACAAATCCACATACACTTCTAAGGTATACAATTTAAAATATAATTATTGCAATTAATATATACAAAATACAACTGCACACAATATGCAGAGGCAAAGGCTACAACAACTTGACAAAAACTAACAAAACTGCTTCAAAATAACTGCAAGAATAATCTACTTAAAGTAGATATAGTAAAGTATATAAAAAGTAGAAAAACAAATATAGTTACTGCTCTGCGGGGTGCAAGTGGCTCAGTTGGTAGAGCATTGGCCTTTGAGCCTGAAGGTCGTGGGTTCGAGCCCACCACAAGACCTACTTCACGACTCCCACTGATGACTGCTGTCGTTGGGTCCTTGGGCAAGACACTTAAAGTGGTTCTCACCCCCGCTCCTCGGAGCTTACGTCACTCACATTTCCTGTTCACTGAGTCACTTTGATTCATGAGGAAGTAAATGTAATTGTGTCTGTACTGGGACAGTGCTTCTTTTGTTCCAGGTAATGAGTTTATGTAAAAAAGAGCAGAAGCAGAAGTGACAGATCTACGAATCCTGCAGTAAACAGACCCCAGCATTAGCACAGGATTAGGTTTAACTCTTGATCTAGGTCTGACTGGTCTGACCGAGCTGGAGCAGGGGCCTCAAACCCGCTCTCAGATCCATAGCTGAACTGAGTGATCGGAAAAATCAGTTTGACCGCGTGACTGTTTGTATATGGACAATGCTAACCCGCTAGCTCAATGAAGCACATTTTGCTCCAACTTGACTTGCATTGAAAAGTAAACTCCTCTAGTTCAGTACAAAAAAAATAGTGGTAGGGAAAACCGGAGCACCTGGTGGAAACCCACACAGACACAGGGAGAACAAGCAAACTCCACACACAGAGGGGTTCTGTCTGGAGGTGGAATAAAACCCAGGACTTTCTTGCTGTGAAGTACAAGTATCAACCATGGTACCACCTCTGTCTTGCCTAAAGACAACAACAACACCACACACAGTCCTGGATCTACAGCCTCAGTCATGGATCTACAGCCTCAGTCGTGGATCTACAGCCTCAGTCGTGGATCTACAGCCTCAGTCCATGGATCTACAGCCTCAGTCCTGGATCTACAGCCTCAGTCATGGATCTACAGCCTCAGTCATGGATCTACAGCCTCAGTCCTGGATCTACAGCCTCAGTCCATGGATCTACAGCCTCAGTCCTGGATCTACAGCCTCAGTCCATGGATCTACAGCCTCAGTACTGGATCTACAGCCTCAGTCCTGGATCTACAGCCTCAGTCCATCCTTGAGAGCAGATCCCACTGCGGCATCTGATCAACACAGAAGTCTCCCATCCCAGTTCTAATCACTCCCTGCTCTACTTGGGCGGCACGGTGGCAGAGTGGATAGCACTCTTGCCTATCAGCAAAAAGATCCTGGATTCAAATCTTGGTCGGAACAGAGCCTATCTGATTGGAGTTTGCATGTTCTCCCTGTGTCTGCGTAGGTTTCCTCCGGGTGCTAATGTTTACATTTGCATTTTTAGCTACTGTGCTCTTTGCACACGCAGGTATAGTGGTCAGCGCGGTTACTCCAGACTGTAGTATTGTTCCTGGGTCCGCGGCAGTTGCTGTAAACTGTGAAAATGTCAAATTTGTAGACTCTGTGTCGCCAGACGGTTGCGTCATGAGCCCCGTCACTCCCAATGAAGGCCGTATCCATCCGCAGAGACGTACGCGCGGCTCCCGGGACAGAGATGAATGCGCCACGACTCATCCAACAGGATCCAGACACAGTCACCAACCAGGACTAGGCTGATCCAGGACTGAGTGTGTTGTTGTTGTTGTGTCTTAAGGCAAGAAAGACAGAGGTGGTGCAATGGTTGATTGCTGTACTTCACAGTAAGAAAGTCCTGTGTGATTCCACCTCTAGACAGGGCCTCTCTGTGTGTGGATTTTGCATGTCCCCTGTGACTGTGAGGGTTTCCTCCAGGTTCTCCAGTTGTCCCTACCATTAAAAAAATTACAATGATGTGAGAGAATGGGTGGCGATGGTCAGAGGTGTCGAGCTTCTATCATCAAGTGAAGTGGAGGGAAATACTTGTTTTTATTAGGCCCGAGCCCCGAACGGGGTAAGGGCCTATTGCTTTCACAATGGTGAAAACAAATGGTGGCGGTGCGTGACGGACGCGTCAGCGCCCGTCACTCACCAAAACGTGACGGTTGCGTGCGTAAACTCAAAAG